AATGACAATCCTTTGAAAAAATATTTCGAGTAAAATATTTTACTATTATCATAATCATTATTATTGTAATCAATATTATAATTATTATTATTTTTAGTACCAGTACAGACGTCGAACCCACACACGTCGGACGCTACAATGGTCGGACTGTACAAACGCCGGAATTACAAACGTCGGACAAACATTTTTTTGGATTTTTTTTATCGATTTTGATGGTTATTATATCGTTAGAACTGACGAGGGTCAACCCAGACCGAAATATATTTTTAATAAATGTGGAACTAACATCTACTTTTTTACTCTACAGAGGTTTGGTCCATCACCATCACCGAATTTTAAACTGGTACAAACGTCGGACCAGTACAAACGTCGGTTGGGTACATTTATTAGGAAAAACGTCGGACTTTGGCTGAGTTTAAAAAAATACTATTTCTATAAGAAATAAATTAAAAATCACTCACTTATTGTGTTGAAAATCAAAGACAACTGAATAAAGTCCCATCCTTTGAAGGTAGCACAATATAAAACAACAGACCAAAAGAAGTTAAGTTCAATTCTCACAAACTCTGATGTTTTAATATGCCTATATCTTTGCAACCCGATGTCGTATAACCTTTAATACCTATGAAATCTATAAGATCAAGCAATTTAAGTTTTAAAGTATCAAAGGTAAATACCATTACCAGGTTGCATAGGTATAGGGATGAGAATATTTGAGTTAGTGACAAGAATTCAGTCATTTTTGGTAGAACTAAGTTCCTTTGGGTAGATTTGTATTAGACCAGTCGATAAAAAGAAATAACTTTTTAATAAAAAAATCTTACAATTCAAATAATTTTTTTCCTTAATCCGACGTTTGTACTGGCTGACGTTTGTACTGGTCCGGCGTTTGTACCAGTCCAACGCTTGTACTAGTCCGACGTTCGTCCTAGTCCAACGTTTGTACTGTGCGACGTTTGTAAGTCTTACGTTTGTACCGTCCGACGTTTGTACTGGTACCATATATTTATTATTATTATTCTTATTATTTTTTAACTTAATATTGTTATTAATATTATTATTATTATTATGATTATTATAATCATTAATATTATTATTACTGTTATTATCATATTTATTATTATTATTATCATTATTATTGTTATTATTATTATTTTTATCATTATTATTATATTTGTATATTACTCGTATTCGTCCTGTCTCATAAGCCCTGCATGAACCAGATGCTCGATTGTTGGAAATCGTTTCTTCAGACGAAAACTCACCGTCCTAAATAATACAAAGGTAATAATTACTAGGTTCAAATTCTATTTTTTTCAATCCTTATATCTTTACCACATTCATGTTGTAAACATTTGTTATTCCAATCTTTTCTAGATTAATAATCAAATTTTAAACTTTAATATAAAAAATCGATGGTTCCGGTTGCAAAGAAAAATTAGAATTTGGAGCAAGTAATTAGTGAGGGGAGGAAGGCCAGCCAGAACAATTAATCGTCCGACCAATATTTTCCTCATTTTCTCGTCCGAGCCACCTCCGAATCCTCGTCCTTCGGTTTTTATGTTTTAAAGTTTCCAATTATTGAAGATAAAACTTCTTTTACAAATCTGTCCACGTTAGGGCATAAAATATGGATGGACTAAAGAATTGCAATGATTACATCATGTTGGAATCTTCAAACCCATGACTCCGTAATGGCTAACCTTCGCGATATAAAATAAATAGCAAAACATTTGGCATGCCTCTGCCTATAATTTTCCCGATGGAACCACCTGGAAAAGTTCTATGGTTTTCACTATAATTAACAAAAAAGATTGAAGTTCTATAAACTCGGAATTATTTGCGGCATTTTACACCAGGAATATCTGAAAATACGCGTAAAAAAGGTGAACATTTTTAAGGCCATTACTTAAAATCTTTAATTCAATTGAAACTTTTTTTTTTGATTCACAAGAATTGAATAATTAAAAAATAGTTTTAATCGGAGGATTAGACAATTAAAAAATTAATATTGAAAGGACGAAGATTTTGAGTGGCACGGACGAGAAATTTAGGAGAATGTGGCTTGGACGAGAAATTATTGTGGTTTTTCTTCCTCCCCTCAATCAGTACATCTGCAGATGATATTGTATATCTCTATCACTCTATGTAGTTCAATAAACAATACAATTTTCAAATTAAAAATTATATTTTACAATGGAACTGTATTATTAAATAATAAATGTTATAAAACCATGAAGGAGACGAAATAATGTAAAAAAACTAATATTAAAGTAATATCAGCCAAATAATATTTCGGATAAGTTCCAGGATTGCGACTAAAAACTTTTCTTATTACTTTTTATGAAAAGAAAAGCGATTTTTTTGTTTTGGTAAGACATTATTAACTGTTGCATTTTTTTAGAAAAAAATAGTTTTGAAATTCAGCCAGACTATTTTGATAAAAAATGGATAATAGTTTATTATTCAATGTAACGTCTGGTTACGATAAAAAAATTAGATAAGAGAATGGGAAGGAGGGAAATGTTTTTTTTAAAAAGAGAGTTTAAGGCCCAATGATTATCAATATTATCATTATAAATACCTAAAGTCTATTTTCTATCAAATGTGTCATTTAATCTCTATTGATTCTAATTTGTCTGAAAGTAAATGACAATCCTTTGAAAAAAATAACAAATTATTTTTATTAATAATTATTATTTTTAAAAGGGGCGGGATTAAATAAAAAATTCTTGCATACCAAAAAACCAGCTTTTTGTAAAGGAATGATACTTTACTGACAGAGATAACATTTTTTTAAAATTAAATTGCACAATATTATCCGTATATATATGTATACATAAATGCATACTTTAGACATTTCTAATCATAGAGTAATAAAACGAAGAGGTAAAGCTTACCCCAGATGTACACATGCCGACCTCCCTATTAATTAATTAATAAAATGGTCGGTTGTGTACATCACGATGTACTTAAATATCTAACACTGTACATTTGTATATAGAGTGATCGTATTTCTTGGGGGGGGGGGTTATGAAATTGGCAAATTTTTAGATTTTCTTTCATTATTCAAAGAGAATTCGAGGATGTTGACTGCAAACATTTGACAATTTTCAAATTTGTAGGTTTTCAATTTATTAGCTAATGAACTGAAAAAACGATGCGCACGCATCTTTAATTGCGACTTCTTTTTTTAAATTATGCTAAATATTAAAATATTATAAATTAAACAATACAGTACATTCATTTTTATACTCACCTAAAGTTGAAAGCAATGGTGTTGAATTTTTCTTCAAACATGGTTTTTTCGCCTGACTAATATCTCCTTCTTTAAAATGGTTTGAGCAAATAAAACTTGGGGGATGTATGGTGGAGTCTCCCAACCTTAAAAGGTCTAACCATGCACAATGTTTTGGTATTTTGAAAAAAAACTCACATTTTTACAAAAAGAATTGTTTGTGTACTTTTTGTTTGGCCATACTTAATTTTATTAACATAAACAAATCACTGAACTGTAATGTACTGCAGTATACAATCCTGTGTATACAATCTTTATTAATTGTCTATCTAATTATCAATACTAATTTTCAATTATCTACATTTTACCACCCCAAAAAAATACGATCACACTCTATACAAGTGTACAGTGATAGAAACGTAAACATAACTTGATGTATACAACCGACCACTCTATTAATCAATTAATAGGGGGTCGGTTGTGTACATCTTAGCTAAGCTTTACCTCTTCGTTTTATTACTCTATGTTTCTAATTATACACATTGCCAAGAATTAATTATGATAAGGTGTGTTTATAAATAGATTGTTTAGAATCCAGAAGTCCAGGTTTAAAAGTGAATACATAACTTAGATTATAGCCTTTTGGTTTAAAAAGGCTAGCTTTCAATGTGTTTATTTTCTATGAAGATACAGGGTGTCCCACGAAACATGACAATAGCAAGACGATCCCCCCCCCCCCAGCCTTTATAGGGTTAAAGAAAAACATTTTTTCTGTAAAATTAAAATTTCTAAGCGAATATGACTTTAAGGGTGGAGAAAATCTTGAATATATATTATTAGATACCTGAGTGCAATACAGTATGCCAGGGTGACATATCTGATCATAGTTCTTCTCAGTATTCTACCCTTGTCATCATTATCCACAACAAAAACTCCAACTAGCATTATCGCGAAGGAATCTACGAAAATCAACATTAAAAAATATGGAAAAAACAAGGCTGTTCCAGGTCGCATCGCAAACATCTCTTTTGAAAGAAAATTTTTTTTTTATTAGACCTGTTATAAACCTATAATGTGACGTACAATACACAAAGAAGTTGTTCCGCCGTCACAAAAATGGATTTTCCTTAAATTTTTACATCTAGCCTTTTATAAGTATGTTCTTTTTTGTCACTTTATGGTGTTCTAGCCATGATGTACCTTGCCAACGAAAGAGGCGCAAACTGGAAATCAAAACAGGGGGTCGACAGGAAGGTATTTAGGTCAAATACTAATTTAAATGAAATGATATTTCAAATTATTACTCAACCAAAACTGATTGATTATTTGATACAAACATACAAACATCCAAATATACAGGCAAAATATCCATATATATAAAGGGCGGGTAAACGGCGGGAATAACCTGGGCAGCGCTGGGTTCCCAAGCTATTATACAAATTACTTAGAAATATTTTTGATCGAAATAAGATTGTAATAATTTGGTCGGAAGAAAAATCCTGATAAAATTCCTTTTTTTTGAAACGTTTAACCATAAGAATGTTATTTAATGAAGTCTATTTCATTTAAGTTGCTTATTAATTAAACATTAATGAATGCAAGAGCCTAAACAACAAAAGATCTAATCTTAGATAGTTGCTCAATTTGTTCAATTTTATGATTCAACCACTAAAAAGATTAGCATAGTTCAGGGAGTAAAAACTTAAATGTTTTATTGATTATACACAGGAGAGTGCATTTAGGATTAAAATATAACAATAATGATTTAAATTATTCTAAAGAGTATACTTGGCCATTTGATAATTGTAATTATAATTTGAACTGAGAGGACAAACTATACAATTTCAATACAATGTATCATTTACCCTCAGACAAATTTCCATTCCGTTATAAAAAGCTGGTTTTTTGGTATGCAACAATTTTTATTTAATCCCGCCGGGATATTTTCATTGAAAGATACTTTGAAAATCTACAAAGGCAAAAAAATCCGCAAAATCCGCAAGCCTTCGAGTTTATCATTGAATCCCCTCTTTAAAAAGGAATGTCATTTACTCTCAGACAAATTAGAATCAATGTATCATTGAATCCGGAGGGGGTTTAAATTTCCATTGATTCTAATTTGTCTGAGAGTAAATGACATTCCTTTGTAAAAAATAACAAATTATCTTTATTATTTATTATTATTTTTAAAAGAGGCGGGATTAAATGAAAATTGTTGCATACCAAAAAAACAGCTTTTTTATAAAGGAATGTATCATTTACTCTCAGACAAATTAGAATCAATGGAAATATAAACCCCCGAGGGATTCAATGATAAACCCGAGGGCGTAGCCCAAGGGGTTATCATTGTATTCAGAGGGGGTTTAAATTTCCATTGATTCTAATTTGTCTGAGAGTAAATGACATTCCTTTATAAGAGGGGATTCAACGATAAACCCGAGGGCTTGCGGATTTTGCGGATTCTTGTTTTGCCTTTGTGGATTTTCAAAGTATCTTTCAATGAAAATATCCCGGCGGGATTAAATGAAAATTGTTGCATACCAAAAAACCAGCTTTTTATAATGGAATGCTAATTGTCTTTACTCAAATTACTCGATCAATACTCAAGTAATTAAAGATGTTGCTCATCTATCTTGAATACTCTCTGATTACCAACCGTAGTTACTCATCTATCTTGAATACTCTCTGTTTACCAAATGTAGTTACTCATCTATCTTGAATACTCTCTGTTTTTAATAACGATATAGTTACTCATCTATCTTGAATACTATCTAATTACCAACTGTAGTTACTAATCTATCTTGAATACTCACTAATTACCAACTGTAGTTACTTATCTATCTTGAATACTCACTAATTACCAACTGTAGTTACTCATCTATCTTGAATACTCTCTAATTACCAACTGTAGTTACTCATCTATCTTGAATACTCTCTAATTATCAACTGTAGTTAATCACTATTCTAAATACTCTGTGTTTACCTGGCCAGGGTAAAGTTTTGTACTGTTTCCACCAACGGTTTAAAACCAAACTGAAATATAACTGTTGGCGTGATCTTTGAGAAAGGAAATGAGTTTTTGCCACAAACTCTGATTTGTTTGCCCCTTAGCAATACAATATCGTAGACCTTTGATATTTCAAATTAACTGTGAATTATGTTAGATCAAATAGTTTAAGTTTGAATATAGAGATTATAAAATGTTATATCCTTTAAAAGATTCGCTGTATGATCTATCAGAATTCGAAATATTAAAGATCTACGTGACAGGTTGAAAGGTAAACGAAAGGAAAATATGTTCTTTTATGCAATGCACGTTTTCTATACTCGGATCGTTCTTTTTTTTTCTTGTTGAATTTGAATACAAAATCCATCTTTAAATAATATGTATACCTGACATAAAAGCCTAGGACAAATGTGAGAGGGATAGTTCGAATATTATTGTTGACATACAGACGCAGGGTCTCAAAAACTACCCTAAACAAATTAAATAAATTTAATTGAAAACATTATTAAAATTATAAATATGCTGATTAAAAAATAAATTAGATAAACCTTAACAATAAATGAGGGTAAAAATATAAAGAATTAAATGAGGTTTCCCCGGAATTAATGAAAGTAAATATTTTCTTTGAATTTTAAAAACTGTGTTTGTCCCCTATTATGTTTAGATACTTTAGCTATAAATTCTTGAGCCATGTGACGTCATTTCCTCGGGGAAAACAGCGTGCACATTTTATATCTGGCACTCAATTTTTCAATTAAAAAAATAAGGATATATCTGTCTTCGGTTATCTAAGATAAGTTTAAAGGGTCCCTTGAATGTCACTTGAATGTATATACTATATACAGGGTTAAACACAATGAATGAGGTATTTTAGAGACGATTGTACGGAATTTGTTTAGTTCGTTTTCTTCCATTCAGAATTTACTGTAGGCCAAAACTAGCATATTTCTGTGCTTTATGATTACAGTAAACCATCTAAAATACTCAATTGAATTCAGAAACCAAAAATCATATTTATACAGTTTCAGGTCGTATTTTTAGTCTCATCATGTATGGGTAACCCTGTACGTCTCTTTAAGCCTCGTTAAGAAAATATGTAAAACAAAGGTTAATGCGGGAATCTGTAAAAAATAGAATTAATTTACTTTTCCTTTCCGTTAAAAGAACGTTTAATTATTTATATGTTATACTTAAATACTTTTGCAGATTTCGTGATACTTGGTAATAAATGTTAATATTTAACGTAGATTGCAGATAAAACATTAAGGGTTGCAACAAATTGGGTTAGCAATATATTTATTATGTTATTAACTTTTTTCCATAATTTCCCGGATATATAAGAGTAGGGAGAGTAGGCTTTATTCAGATTATTATATATTTGCTTTAAGCTTTTTATCCGAAGAGCAAAATAAATTCCATTTTTCATTTGTTTAGATATGTTTGCTATAATTTAGCTGAAATTCACAAACCCCATGGACTTATTACTTAAAAACTTTTAATAGTTACAAACTATATTGAAATTTTTTTTAGTAAAAAAAAACAATTTGCAGAAAGTTAAACGTGCTCTCCTGTCTGTGGATTTCTACGGTCAAGTAGAAAATTGCTAAAAGGAAATGAGTTTTTGTCACAAACTCAAATGCCTTATTCCCTAAATGTTTTATAAAAGACAAACATTTTCTTATTTGTTCATATTCTTTAAATAATTGTATGACAAGGGTTGCCTGACAATCATATTGAATGCTCAGTGCAAACACTTTTAATTATTCATTAAAACCAGTTTTACAAGTTTTAAAGGAATATTACATTCTAAAATATATAACTGAACATGAGCCGGGTCTAATAAAACTCTGGAATTGGAGGACGCCATTTTAACAATTTCAGGTTTATTTGATGGTGTTTTAAAGCTAGCAAATAATTGCAGCTATAAAATCAGCATTGTAAGTGAAATGAGTCTGTGTCGACCACACAATTGTAGTGCTTAATCTTCATTAAATCATTTAAAATTATAGAAGTCGTCTTCCTATTCCACAGTTATTTGTGTCTCACCGTAGTAAATTGCAATTTTGACGTCAATTTTTTCCGGTTAGGAGGTATTTTTAATGTGTGTTGGCTGGTTTTTTCTGTAGTTCAATGTTTTAATGTGTTTTTTAATTTTGTTCTATATGTTTTTTTTTGACTTTTTTGGTTCATGGTCTTGTTGTATCCTGTTTTATTAGTTGTAACCTGTATTTTTTCCATCTAATGCAACTAGGTAAAGCTTCATCACAATCATCACTATTAGCCACCAGTATCAACCTTCAGACAATCTTCTTACACAAACAAAATCAAACCATAACAAAGTTCATCGAAACAGTTTTTACTTTTTAAATTTTGAATTTTGAATTTTGGATTTTAAAACAAAGTTCAACTTTGGTATTTTACATAGTTTATTTTGAAATATTACTATTCTTTTAGAAAATTACGCTTTAGATCAGATTAATCTAGCCATGTTTTGTTCTCCCAAATAAGCTCTGATAAATAAGAGAAAATAATTAAATAAATTATAATTTTGGGCGTGGGTTAAGAGTTAAGAGGCTACAAAGCTGTACCAGTAACTCTGCATTAAATAAACACCGTTCTGATGTTAAAGTTACAATGATAGTAGCCTTTTTTCATCGAGTAACGCAAGCATTCTTTCAGTTTTAAGAAGTACTGTTCCTGTACATAATGTTGACAACCATGTACATAGCACTGTACGCTATCAGTTCCTTGAACACTAGTTTGTACACAGAACCACGCCATCGGAGCAAAATCTAGTAAAAGAGATAATAATCTTAAAATTTTTAAAACATCTTAAAGTTAGAAATGTTAATAAGGATACGAGTAGGTGTCTGTCAACAGTTCAACACTATTCTTATTTGGTTTAACACAGCTTGATTATGCAGGGCAACCCTGGTATAACAACTGATTATGCAGGTCAACCCTGGTTTAACAGCTGATTATGCAGGGCAACCCTGGTTAACAGCTGATTATGCAGGGCAACCCTGGTTTAACAGCTGATTATGCAAGGCAACCCTGGTTTAACAGCTGATTATGCAGGGCAACCCTGGTATAACAGCTGATTATGCAAGGCAACCCTGATTTAACAGCTGATTATGCAAGGCTACCCTGGTTTAACAGCTGATTACGCAGGGCAACCCTGGTTTAACAGCTGATTATGCAAGGCAACCCTGGTTTAACAGTTGATTATGCAGGGCAATCCTGATTTAACAGCTGATTATGCAGGGTAACCCTGGTATAACAGCTGATTATGCAGAGCACCCCTGGTTTAACAGCTGATTATTCAGGGCAACTCTAGTTTAACTGCTGATTATGCAGGGTAACCCTGGTATAACAGCTGATTATGCAGGGCAACTCTGGTTTAACAACTGATAATGCAGGGTATCTATGGTTTTAACAGATGACAGTGCAGGGTGACCCTGATTTAACAGCTGATTAGTTGGGCAAACCTGGTTTAATTGCTGATTAGCTGGTAAACCCTGGTTTAACTGCTGATTAGCTGGAAAACCCTGGTTTAACTGCTGATTAGCAGGGTATTCATGATTTAACAGCTGATAACGTAGGGTAATTCTGATTTAACAGGTGATAATGCGGGGTAACCCTAGTTTTAACAGGTAGTAGAACAGGGTAACCCTGGTTTTAACAGGTGAAATTGCAGAGTACTCCTAGTTTTAACAGGTTGTAGTGCAGGGTAACCCTGATTTAACAGCTGATATTGCAGGGTATTCATGATTTAACAGCTGATAGTGCAGGGTATTTCTGGTTTAACAGGTGATAATGCAGGGTAATCCTGATTTAACAGCTGATAATGCAGAGAAACCCTGGTTTAACAGATGATAATGCAAGGTAACCCTAGTTTTAACAGGTGGTAGAACAGGGTAATCTGGTTTTAACAGGTGATAGTGCACATTGACCCTAGTTTTAACAGGTTGTAGTGCAGGGTAACCCTGGTTTTAACAGCTGATAGTGCAGGGTAACCCTGGTTTTAACATCTGATAGTGCAGGAAACCCCTGGTTTTAACAGCTGATAGTGCAGGGTAACCCTGGTTTAACACCTAATTGTGCAGGAAAACCTTGATTTTAATAGTTAAAAATGCAAGGAAGTACGTAGTATTTTGTAAATCAGAAAATGATTAAATCCCACTAAATCATTTATAGAAATCATTAATCAAATTATCATAAATAAGAAAAGTAACCTTTATGAAGATACCAAATCTACTGGCATTCGCTACATCCCCACTGTAGGAAACCGTCATCTGATTAATTTAGCAAAATATCTAAATATAAATTGATTTAAGAAAAAAGATAAAAACGTTCAAATTTTTATTTTATTTTCTGATCCCTATATGTTTGCAAACAGGTGTCGTAGACCTTAGATATTAAAATAATACATTCTGTTAGATCAAATAATCTAAGTTAGAAATATCAAAGCTGTATAAGATTAGGTTGCAAAGATATAGGGATTAGAAACTTTGAGCTTGTGACACTAATTCAATTCCTTTGTTATGATAATCTCAAAATTGTATCGTTTTGATAAGCAAAGCGCGATTTTATTGAGAAGAATTAACCCATTTGAAAAATAATCTAGGTATCATATCTGTGTTTTAAAACAATTGAACAATTTAACTTGAATAGGAATAATATAAAGAAGTAAGTACGATTGCTGGATTGTTTACGGTCTAATGTGACGTAATTAGACAACCGTGGAACTAGTTTTATTGTAAACAAACAACTGCTAGTTAGGATAGTGATTGCAGAAGCCCGACTATTCCTTGTCTTGCAACGAAATTTAGAGCTAGTTGTTTACACTCTTTGTTATTATTTCGAACTTTTGATACAATTCGTTCAATATCTGAAGCTCTCCAATAAAATAACTCACAATAAAATTTAATAAACTTCTAGTTCTATATTATTTCATGTAAAAAATATAATTTTTGTACGCGACAACACCATTACATACATAGAACGACAACTCCTACACAATGCGACAAAATCTGCACTGTTTGCGAAAACACCATAAATATACTGTATATTGTTTATTGAATATGCGACAACATCTGCATTATTTGCGAAAACATCATAAATATACTGTATATATTGTATATTGTATATGCGACATATAACATACGTATAAATGTAGCAACACTTGAAATATGCGGGTGTGACAACACCTCCTTAATATGCGAGACAACAACTTAAATATACAGGGTGTTTAATGAAACATGACAGTGTTGAGAAACGACTTGAAGGTCGTCTTTGATCTTTGTTGTACTTTCAAAATAACCGGAGATTTGAAGAATTTCGCTCAGATTCCAACAATTGTGTTTTTATTAAACATATTGAAATCTAAACAAAATTCTTCATATCTCTGGTTTAATCAAGAGCACAAATTAAACTTATTATAACGATCAAAGACGACCTTCAACTCGTCTATGAATTGGTATGTTTCGTGGGACACACTGTATGAGACAACACCTTTATATATGAGACCCCTTTAATAACAACATATTTTATTAACTTCTTTTCACGATCTTCACCTTACTGGTTAATGGTTACAAAAAAGCAAAACCGAAATTCAAAGTGACGTAATTTCGAAATACTCCACTTTTTTTTGGGGGGGGAGGGGGGCCTCATCTATGTATTAGGGGAAGAGGAGGGGGTAGGAGTGGTCTAAATTTTGTCCGTCATCTTATAAATAAACCACGGGATTAAAAACCTGTTTTTCATCTTTATATTGAATTGTGTTGATTACAAAAGGTATTCTGACAGTGAATTCAGAGTTATACCCGGGTACGAAAGATGAGGTTTTTATGACAACCTGAAACTTTTTGGCTTTGGTTTTCCGAAAGGCAAACTCTTAGTCTAAATTGCTCTTTGACCAAATTTATTCTTTAAAAAATATTTATTTCAGGGTCGTGTGGACCAATCTTATCAATTTAGATCGTCTTTGAATATTCAAAAAGAAAAGATATTTGTAATAATATTTTCTATATTATTCATTTTTCCATTTAAATCGACTTTAATGTTTAAAAAATTGTGTCCATTGAAATCGTCTAAATTACACAAAACGATGTTCGTAAATTAAAATTGTCTTTAATATTCAATTCAAGTGTTTGTCTTTTAAAATCGACTATAATATTCAAAAAATTGTTTCCCTAATAAAGTAGTTTTAATAAATGAAATGCTTGATTTTCTATTAAAAATGTTTTCAATATTTTAAAACGAGTTTGTCAATTGAAACCGATTGTAATATTTAGAAAGTTGTTTGTCAATTATAAAATTGGTTTTATATAAAAAAAGACGTTTGTCAATTGAAATTGTGTCTGTTACTTCCGGATGAAATACGACACCAGAGAATTATAATTCAACTAGTTGGGCACTTAAAATAACCTTAATTATCTATTAATCTACCGACCCTAATTAGTCATTGTTAACTCATGATTCTCAAACTGAAATAAATTTCGGGGAAACCGAGGGAAATAAAAATCTTCATTGTACATCATGGAAACTCTCAGATTAAAGGGATTATGGAGAATCAGGAGGAGGGAGTAAAGAGGGTAAGAAGTAAATGAAGAGGTGAGGGGAACTAAGGAAGGGAAGTAAGGGAGGGGGGCTAGGAGGGGAGTGAATGAATAGGTGAGGGGGAGCAAGGAAGTAAAGTGGGGGGGGGGGAGGAGGGGATTGGATTAAATGAAGAGGTTAGGGGAACTAAGGAAGGGAAGTAAGGGAGGGGGGCTAGGAGGGGAGTGAATGAAGAGGTGAAGGGGAGCAAGGAAGGGAAGTGGGGGAGGGGGAATTAGGGAGGGGAAAGTTGACTTTAGTTATTTTACAGATTATAAAACAGATATTGTCACTATACTGAGCTCTAGATTACAAGTAGACAATATTAGACTTCTGAACTCGGTCACTGGTTAATGGTTACACTGGACTATATTAGACTTCTGAACTCGGCCACTGATTAATGGTTACTACTGGACTATATTAGACTTCTGAACTCGGCCACTGGTTAATGGTTACTACTGGACTATATTAGACTTATAAACTCGGCCACTGATTAATGGTTACTAATGGACTATATTAGACGTCTGAACTCGGCCACTGGTTAATGGTTACTACTGGACTATATTAGACTTCTAAACTCGGCCACTGATTAATGGTTACTACTGGACTATATTAGACTTCTGAACTCGGCCACTGGTTAATGGTTACTACTAGACTATATTAGACTTCTGAACTCGGCCACTGGTTAATGGTTACTACTAGACTATATTAGACTTCTGAACTCGGCCACTAGTTGATGGTTACTACTGGACTATATTAGACTTCTGAACTCGGCCACTAGTTAATGGTTACTACTGGACTATATTAGACTTCTGAACTCGGCCACTAGTTAATGGTTACTACTGGACTATATTAGACTTCTAAACTCGGCCACTGATTAATGGTTACTACTGGACTATATTAGACTTCTGAACTCGGCCACTAGTTAATGGTTACTACTGTTGACAAAGATGATTTCAAGATAGATAAAGCTAATTTTACCGGACCAAAAAAACATAAAATGGCGTCGCGACTCGCGTCGTAGTATTCGATCAAAGTAGGGGGTCTTAACTTTGAAAAATTATCATAAAATCATTTTGATAATTATATAAATAATTTATATTGTCCATACTAGTTAATTAATGTATGATATTGTCAATCACCTGTATTTTTTTATTTTTATTATAAAATAAGCAGTATTTTTTTTCATGTAAATTCTGCCGCAGTGTTCAGATTATGTTTTTGATTCAGAATTTCCTGATACCTTTTTTCAAAAAATTGCAGGGTAGAAAAAAAGAATTAGATGCTTCTTATGTTTTAATATGTCCAGTTTCAATGCAAAGCTGGGTTTTCAAGTGTCTGTATATAAACAGAGGTTAGGTTACAAATATAAAAAGCAATTTAAAAATGAAAATAGAATCTGTAATGAGTACTGAAATAAACTGGTGGTTGGACTTGAATCCTGAAATGATTAATTTAGATTCAAGTATTTCTTGAATCAGGAGACATTGATACGTTTTAACACGCACATTGTACTTTTTATATCTCTATAAAGAGGATTTTTTTTCAGGAGGGGGGTAGTTGGTAAAATTTTATGTTTTGTATTATGTCGGATATATAAATATATATAATGTTGATTTTATACGCTTTTATTAAACTAAAATTTTGTATCAATCCGATGAGATTAGAAATAAGGAGAGAATAAAAAGACGGTTACCTAATATCAGAGTAAACAGGAGTTAATTTCGATGTCTATTCATAATCTTGTTAATTTGTTATGATTAAAACTAGTTCTACAGTTGTCCTGAGGTAGGAACAAGGTAGGATCAATGCTTGATCTCAATCTTTTGGTAATCTAAAGATTTATAGTCTAATCTTCATTCGCTATCCGCAATGTAATTGTGCTCTGAAGGGGTAATTGATATGAAGAGATTAAAGGGACTGTTAAGGAAAAGATGAAAGGGGGTATAGGATGAAAGCTAATCACTTTAGCTCTTGATCGAGACCCACGAAAGTTATTTCTGATGTTCCTTTCTCGAGAAATTGATAAAAAACTGTTTCAAATTTATTCGAAAATTCAAATATATTCAATATGTATGGAAATAGTAGGGTTTAACAGATCATATTCAGCAAATACGCAACAAATCTGAAAACGAAGATATTCCTATAAGAAACCTAATCGTAACTTAGGTTTTCTCCAATTATTATTTTCTCATTTTTATTTTTAATAGATATAATTGATTATTTATAAGTTTGTATTACTTCACAAGAACTTCCACCAATGAGAGTGCAGTATACTGGTCCCGTAGTACAGAGAGAGACACGTGACCACTCTTTGATTTTGTAAGATAAATATAATTTTGTTCTTTCTACGAAATATTAGATTTTCAGACATTCGAAATGTCTGAATTATCCCAAAAATGTCCTAAACTGAATTGTCCCAACACAGATTTTATCTAGAAATACAGGTTGACCAAAAATTGATTATGGGAGAAAAAAAGCCTTACTCATTTTGTCAATTTAAAGGTCCAGAATTAATTTATCTGTATTTGTAGAATACAACTTTTATTTTTAATTATCTTTCTAAGATTAACTTTCCTTTCATTTAATAATTTCAACCAAATAGATTCTAGTACAATTGATGGCAACGTAGAATTTGTACACTCTCAGTACACCTGTATTCTTACGTCCCAAGTGTCAACTCAGTTTTTGTGTCTTATCATCATCTAACCTTCTCACAAGCAGCGAAATAAGACTTAAGGACATTTCTCTGTTGGATCCTACAACAAAATTACCTCTGAGTGGTTCACTTGATTATCCTTCGTTGAGTAGCAACCCTCCTTGTACAGGAATTTTAAAATGTTCTGTTCATAGCAGGGAAGTTATTGCTCCCTCGCTGCAAAAAAAAAAAACAGTAGACAGAATGTTCAGCGCTGAGGCTGATGGCACCTTTATACATTGAAAAGATGATTAACGAAAATTTTAAATTAATAACTATGCCTCGTACCATTTAATTATAAAAAATTTTAAAACATAAATTATACAAACATTGACAACATTTTTTGTTATGTTTAAAATATGTTGCCTCAGTTACAGGTCGTCATTAAAGTCTCAACCTGTGTGGGTAATCCTGAACCTATTGGCTGTGCGGGTAATCCTGAACCTATTAGCTGTGCGGGTAATCCTGAACCTATTGGCTGTGCGGGTAATCCTGAACCTATTAGCTGTGTGGGTAATCCTGAACCTATTAGCTGTGCGGGTAATCCTGAACCTATTAGCTGTGCGGGTAATCCTGAACCTATTAGCTGTGCGGGTAATCCTGAACCTATTAGCTGTGCGGGTAATCCTGAACCTATTAGCTGTGCGGGTAATCCTGAACCTATTAGATTCATAAAATTATGTTTATCTGTTAACAGTACAGGAAGCCTCAATTCTTCCGCAACTCTCGCTACTCCGGGAACCCATTAATTAATGCACTTTACAATTTGCAAGTATTAATCTTAAATCTCACATTGATATTTTATTGGTGTAACTAGCTGAAGAAAAAAATGAATAAAAATTTTTGAAAAAAAATACTAATTTTTTTAGCCTATATGACACCCCCAGACAAAATTCCGATTTGTCAACTATAATAATTTAGACAACCAAAAAAGTTTGAATGAAAACTAATTTTGTTACAAAATTACAATTTAATTTCAAATCAATTATGTACAACATAATACATGTATGATGCGTAAATGAATTCTTGAATTCTAGTTCTTTCACCATTTTACCTTAACAGCGCCAAAAGAAACCTTAGACGGTAATTATTCTGTTTGAAAATAAACATTGGGCTTTTTATTTCTAGAAACTTACATTTCCCTCCCCAGAGTTTATTTTTTTACCAAGAAAGTATCGTTTGATGTTTTCTGCAGAAAAGTTGGCAAAACAAAATTAGGTAAAACAAACAAGCTTCAGACTTATTGCACACACAAACTAACTTGTCAATATCACTTTATGTGTAATATAGAATATATATATATATTGCAACCTAATGTCGTAGACCGTAAATACTTTTAACAAAGAATTCTGTTTGGTTTGGTTTTCACCAACTGGTTGCAAAGACAAAGGTATTAGAAAATTTGAGTTTGTGCAGGTAAAGACTCAAATCATATTTTTTTAAAGAAGTTTATTTTTAGAGTAAGACAAAAATAAGCAAAATAATTTCTTCACAAACTTCCCTTGATAAGGATGTTCCCATAATTTCTAAAAAATATCACATATTTTAACAAAAAAATTAAATTTTATTTTCTTATACTTCCTACTCCTAAAAACTGCAAACTTCAAACGTGGAAAAATAAGATGAGAAATTCTAGCAAATGTCCGTAAAAATCGGTTCAGAAATAAGGGTCTGCTGTTTCCTTATTAGTAATTGGTAATAATTGGTAATAATTCTCAATATTTTTTTTATTGATTTAAATTATTATTATTCATAAAATAAATAAGTTTCAGAAATAGAACAGAGATGGAATTTAAAGAATTTGAGCCGCGGTTTAAATCCGCCAAAATCCGCCAAAACCCGGTTTAAATTTAGTCTTAAATCTTGAAACATTTGATACAATTTTAAGTGGAACCAACCATATTTAAACCGCCGCTCAAATTCTTTAAATTCGGCAACAGGAAGCTTCGGATAAGATAAGATGATCTTTATTAGAATATGTGGTTTAAGATCCCCATCATTCTCCATTTTTATTAGAATATGTGGTTTAAGATCCCCATCATTCTTCATTTTTTTGTAAAAAAAAGTTTTAAAACGTCGAAGAGTCAATGATAACAGAAGAAATTGAGTCCTTGCCGCAAACTCTGATTTTCTAATCACTATATCTTTGGAACCAAATGTTGCAGACCTTAGATATATTTTAAGCAATGAATTCTGTTAGATCAAATAATCCTTAGAAATTCTTTCTTAAATACAATGTTTATTAGGATAAGAAAATTTAAAAGTAAAGAATAGACAATAGATAAAAATATAAGAGTGAAGACTAAAGAAGTACAGGGAAGAGTTTAAAAAGCGAAGATGCGGAGAAAAAGAAAGAAAAAGATGAAGAAGAGTAGAGGATAAGGGAAGAGAAGTTAGGAAAGGTGAAAAGAAGGAAAATAAAAATTAAGATTATAAGAGCAGAGAAGTTGTGACGAGGGCAGAAATTATAAGAGAACTTTGAAGAACTGAAAATGAGGAAAAGAACAAAGAGAAAAAAGAAGACAAAGAAAGGAGATATATAAAGAAATGCGAGAGAATGAATTAGGAATAAAAGATAATAGGATCAAAGAGGACCAGAGAAGGGGTAAATTAAAAAGAAAAGAGAAGGAAAAAATGAATAGTACAGAATTACAGAATTAAGGGAGAAAGAAGAATAAAGAAAAGAAGAGAAAAAAAAGGAAAGAAGAATGGAAGGAAGAATAAAGAAGAAAAGGAAAGGAGAATTAAAGAAGAAGGGAAAGGAGAATGGAAGGAAGAATAAAGAAGAGAAGGAAAGGAGAATTAAATAAGAAGGGAAAAGAGAATGAAAGGAAGAATAAAGAAGAGAAGGAAAGGAGAATTGAAGAAGAAGGGAAAGGAGAATGGAAGGAAGAATAAAGAAGGGAAGGGAAGGAGAATTGAAGAAGAAGGGAAAGGAGAATGGAAAGAAGAATAAAGAAGGGAAGGGAAGGAGAATTGAAGAAGAAGGGAAAGGGGATTGGAAAGAAGAAAAAAGTAGAAAAGGAAAGAAGAATGGAGGAAAGAATAAAGTAGAGTAATAGAAGGAGAATTGAAGAAGAAGACAAAGGAAAATGGAAAGAAGAGTAATAAAAGATAAAAGACTTGATATCCTATTATTCAGATTGAGATTCAAATTTTGACATAATATCTATTCATATTCATGCAGGCCTTAAACCCTCAATCCTTCATTCTTGAAATCCAAACATTTACCCAGCCATTTATTCTTCTAACCATCCTTTTATCCAGCCATTTATTCTTCTAACCATCCTTTTATCCAGCCATTTATATTTCTAACCATCCTTTTATCCAGCCATTTATACTTCTAACCATCCTTTTATCAAGCCATTTATATTTCTAACCATCCTTTTACCCAGCCATTTATATGTCTAACCATCATTTTATGAAGCCATTTATATTTCTAACAGTCCTTTTATCCAGCCATTTATACTTCTAACCATACTTTTATCCAGCCATTTATACTTCTAACCATCCTTTTATCCAGCTATTTATATTTCTAACCATCCTTTTATCCAACCATTTACATTTCTAACCATCCTTTTATCAAGCCATTAATATTTCTAACCATCCTTTTATCCAGCCATTTATATTTCTAACCATCCTTTTTTCCAGCCATTTATATTTCTAACCATCCTTTTATCCAGCCATTTATATTTCTAACAATCTTTTTACCCAGCCATTTATACTTCTAACCATCCTTTTATCCAGCCATGTATACTTCTAACCATCCTTTTATCCAGGTATTTATTCTTCTCACCATTCTTTTATCCAGGTACTTATTATAGTCTAGTTATTTTACTTAGCATTTTTTTCAGTAAGCCATTTATTCTTTTAACCATTTATTTATTCAGCAGTTTAATATTCTATTTTTCATTCAATTGTAAATTCGGTTTAAAGTGAGTGTTAAGAAATATTATTGTGCTAATTCTAAAATAGAAACTGAAGAGTGTGAGACAAAATTTGTATTGATGATACAATTTTTTGTTGCTACATAATTTTCCAAAATTTGAAAATTTAAAACTCTACATTTTAAAGATACTTTATGGTTTAATTACTGCCAAGACTAAATTGTCTTTATTTTGGTTTTTAAAATAAAGTAGAATAGGATTGTTATTATTTTCTTTAAAAGAATAAATGCTCTGATGAAATGAGTTATCTCACACCGTGGTTTTTTAACGATTACCATGTTTGCGTCTTATTTTTTTCTTAAGTAAACCAAAATTCTAAAATATTTTTGTGCATAAATCAAACATGAATGCAAATGCCATATTTGGTGTCAATGTCCAATACAAGCTTTACATTTTGCAATATAGGATTTGCGAATATATTTGAAAATATATTTCGGTGTTTTCTTTTACCAAAACATTTCACAAGTATACTTACAGTCTTACTGGGATCAATTCCATTTCCAATAACACTAGAACAAAATAAAATAACACAAAATGAGATCAGCAAATTTAAATTCTAAACATGTGTACACTTAAAATAATGAAATCCTAGAAGCGTTCAGAGAGTTTCTAGATTTTTTCAGTGTTTCTAGAGTTCCTGTTGTTTCTAGATTTCCTGGTGTTCCTAGAATTCCTAGAGATCCTGGTATTTCAATATTTCCTGGTGTTTTTAGAGATCCTGGTGTTTCTAAAGTTCCTGGTGTTTCTAATGTTCCTGTTTTTCTAGAGTTCTGGTGTTTCTAGAGTTTCTGGTGTTTCTAGAGTTCCTATTGTTCCTAGAGTTTCTGGTGTTCCTAGAGTTTCTAGTTTTTCTAGAGTTCCTGGTGTTCCTAGAGTTCCTGTTGTTCCTAGAGTTCCAGGTGTTCCTAGAGTTCTTGGTATTCCTAGAGTTCTTGGTGTTCTTAGAGTTCCTGGTGTTTCTAGAATTCCTGGAGTTTCTAGAGTTCCTGGTGTTCCTAGAGTTCTTGGTGTTTCTAGAGTTCCTGGAGTTTCTAGAGTTCCTGGAGTTTCTAGAGTTCCTATTGTTCCTAGAGTTTCTGATGTTCCAAGAGTTCCTAGTGTTCCTAGAGTTCCTAGTGTTCCTAGAGTTTCTAGTGTTCCTAGATTTCCTGGTTATTTTTATTCTTATTTTCATTCTTCAGTTTTTCACTCAGAGATCATCCCTTCTAATGATAATAGGATTATTTCTTCCCTGATAATGATAATAAGATGATTTCATCCCTAAATTGTCAAATTAGGGTGGTATTTGCTAGGAGAAAAATAATCTATCTGTTTCTGGGAAAGCCTAATCAATCTCGTTAAGTTTATATTTCATGACGTAGTTTCTCTTCTTCAGGGTTGGATGAGGATATTATCTTTTTTCTTATTTCTATTTGTTCATTTTTTGGTTTAATTGTTAATATTTCGTTATTCTCAAAGAGAATTTAAAGTATCATCTAAACTCACAAACTTATTTTTTAGGTTTAATATTTTATTCCGTTTAAAATTTTTACGAAAGATTATTGTTTTATGCTATAATATAAATTAAGAAACTTTGTATCTATTTTCTAGATCTAGCAGCCAAAGTTTAAAATATCCAAATATCAGGACGTGCAAAATTTAGAGTTTGATTTCAATTATTCAGCTTTTATATATTTTAGTTAAAAATATGTAATAAGTTTTTTATCATAAAAAGTTTTTTTTCTACATTCAGACCAAAATGTTTAATTATTATAGATCATAAAACATAACATATTTATTTTGAATTATGGTTTAGTTAAATTATAACAATACTGGATAGAGTTAGGATAAAGACTGTGATCTGCAAATTTCTCTCTTCCGGTTTCCCTGAAAACACCCAGGAACATAAATGTTCAACAATCCAGTAATCGTAAAATCCAGGAAATATGAAAATTTCATTCATCGGATTTGAAATTGTATAAAACGGAGATTTTACTAATTATTAACAGATCATTGAAAACACCTTAAACTTTAATTTCTATGTTTACACGTTAAGAAATTTTAAAGTTGACCCGGTATTGAAAATTGAAGCAAGTTTTCATGGCACCAACTGAAATGATGAGGCAAAAAAAAAATGCCACTTAAAAAAAATCATCGATTTTCTTTAATTTTGAACATTCACGAAATAACAAGTGGAAACTCTAAAAAAAATATTCTGTTTCAAAAAGAAAGGCTCGCAGGTAAAAAACAAACATTAAGAAATCTATAGAATTCTTGCCGAAAGATCTGTGCATCTAATGATTAAAAAATGAAAATTTTCTCATCAAGGTTTAACGGATACCGTTGTGAATCGTTATTGGCATTCTGTAAACTGTATCTGGGTGTCCCTGAATAGTTGAAGAGATTATATCATTGCTGAGAATAAAATCTGATGCAACAATATTTGCTTTATCCCACCACATATTCATATACCAGGTACTCAAGTGCCTAAATGTAAACAATATTTGCTTTATCCCACCACATATTCATATACCAGGTACTCAAGTGCCTAAATGTAAACAATTAAAGGCAGTGTTCGCAAAAAATTAAACAATTCATTCAGATATTACAACCTATAATTATCGCTTTTTTCGACGGATTCGTATAAAGTTGATCATTCATAATATTTCTTATTTTTTTATGATCTGAGAGCTATTTCTAAGAGTTCTTTATTCTTGTTTTGAGGATTTTTTATGATGAAAACGATATCTTCATATATTCCAGGAATGTGCGAAAATCCAGCGGCAGCAGTGAAAAAAGTTACTAGCGAAATATTGATTTAAAAAATATAGTATGAAATATCAACTATAAACGAATTCGTCGAAAAAAAAATCGATAAATATCTGAATTATTTGTTTGGAATTAAATTGATTTTTTAAGATCCGAGTCGAATATTGCTTTCTAAAAAAACTTTCTAAATTTGTATGGACGCTACATTCTTCCGTCTGAGTGATTTTTAACAAATACTTATTGTAGGCGCAACAGATAGAAGGAGGATTAATAGCGATCGACATTGATTTTTTTTCGACGTAAGCCTTTGTGTATCTGTTTCTGTTTTGTAGGTAAAAGATTTAAAATTAACAACGAAAATAAAAAACTTGTAAGAAATGACATATATTTAGCATATGGTTGTTAATAAATAACCTGCTAATTCTGTTGTTGAGTATTCGTATTCCACCGGAGGGATTTAGTATCACATCCAGAGCTGAAGGAGTTAGATGAGACATAGCAGCCCATAGATAGGTTGCTTCACTTCTCAGTTCCATAGATCTATACATAGATGGAGTTAGTTGAGACATAGGATACATAGCAGCCCATAGATAGGTTGCTTCACTTCTCAGTTCCATAGATCTATACATAGATGGAGTGAGATGAGACATAGGATACATAGTAGCCCACAGATAGGTTGCTTCTCTTCTCAGTTCCATAGATCTATACATAGATAAAGATAAATGATACATAGAAGTCCAGAGATCTATACATAGATGGAGTTAGATGGAACATATCAGTCCAGATATATATACATATATGTAGTAACAGATGGGACGCAACAGTACATGATTAGTGGCTTCACTTCCGTAGATCTTCATAAATAATGATTAACATTTTAAGAAAAAACTTACAGTTAAAGTAGACTGTACAAATAATTACCCATTTCTACAATGACCTGTCTGATTCACAACAGTACCTTAAAAGGTTTTGTCCGACCAAAAATGAACAAAATTTGGTTTCTCTTTAAAAGTGATTTTAGGCATAAGCACCTTATGCATTTGATGATATCGTCCAAATTAAACATTTTGAAAACTAGAAATAGAAAAATTCCATATTATTGATCTTTTTAAATAGAGGATCACTTGAAATTTTAACGACTCAAATTTGAGTTTATGAACCAAGCTAAGAACATTCCCGTGGTTCTCCCAAGTTCCCCGATCAAAATTTGATGCAAATCAGTCAAGGGGTTCATGAGCTTTAATTGGAAATACAAACACCACAACTGATATTTCTATTTTATTTATATAGATGCGAAGTTATGATATACCTGTTTAGGAATTGGAAAAGTTGAGGTGTATCCCTGGTATCCGCCCAGGCATGATGAACTTTGGGCCAAATAGTCTCATATTCTGATTCAACCCATCCGTTCTCATAACTATACAGATACATATTCATCAAACATTCTTTATTGAATAGAATTTGGGGTTTAAAAAACGTAAAATAGTGGTTTGACTCATGGTTTAAAAGTTTTTTCAAAATTTGAAAAAGAAATTTTACTATAGGAACTGTTAGCATTATTTCAAGAGACCCACCTTCCAAAGATGGCAATGCTCGATTTACAAAGATACTCTTAAAACCTTTATCTGATTAATAATGTGGAAGATATTGTCATTTTTCTAGGTTTAAAAGTTTTAAGTTCTGATAATTTCTATTTGTTTTCCTGCAGTAGATATTCGTATAAGTCACTTTTGTAGAGAAACCCCAATTTCAAATAAATATTTTTTGAAATGATAAATATTGATATCTTATGTACATACTTGATCAGACAAAGCTTTTAAGGATACCGTTTTAAATCCGGCATTGCAATCTTTGCATGGAGGTTCACATGACATTACGCTCACAGTTCCTTCAGGAGTTTTCATTTCTGTATTTACATATTATTATGAACTCAATCTATTTGTTCTATTTGATAAATGATTATTATTGTATGTATCCCCTCACTATCAAGGTTCGGTTCAGGTTCCAAAGATTGTTGAGAGAAACCGTTCTTCCCAACCAGTCTGGAGCCATAAACTCACCCAGCTCCGATATTATATATTCAACCAGTTCCTGATATTCACAGATGAGCAAACCTGATAAACATTGTATTTTAGTTTGTAGCGGGGTTTAGAAGTAATTTTCAGGGAATCTTTAGAATAATAAGGCTACCCATTAAAACATTTCTTTTGTACTTGTCTCGGCTCACAAGAAAAGCGATTCAACTTGGTCTCCAAAGTTCAACTACTTCTTCCTACTATTAGATTTTGACCCCGATGTAGAAATACGAATTCTATGTTATCGATAAGTTTGAAATATCAAAAGTTTACATCATCAAATTGTAAAGTGATTTGTCAGTTATCAGTTTTTTTCGCTTTTTGATTATCGAACAGATTTATTATATTTATGTCAGTCGCGCTTCTTTCATAGTTTACAACACAACCTGCTTGGGAACTAAGGTGTCACTGGAGTTTTTCCTATAAAAGTCAACCTACTCAACTTAGAACTTTTAACCTCCCGTGGATCTAGCGAGCTCCCCCAGATTTGAGGCAAATCGGTCAAGGTGTTCATGCGACAACCAAATACCAAAACAGTGATTACAACTTTATAATATAGATGCTCTTCCTTCCTTATGTCTCTGTCGAGTATTATGTTTGAATCCTGCTGGGAATCTATGGAAGTCCATGATGACAAGCTCCTGGGTGGACCGGAGAAACCTCTTCACTGCCTGTATTGCTCCTGAGAGAGGGTTCAAGGGAACAAAATCATGAACTAACCAAAACTTCTGTGTTTCAGAGTCATAGCTGACCCTATATATCCATACCATGATGGTTAGTATAATATAATTAATAGCACTAATAGACAATCTTATTCGTTCCACATTAGTAAAAAAAACAATTCAAAATTAACAATTAAAAACATGGAATTTTGAATCATTTTTGCCCAGATAAAGGTACAAAGGGTACCGTTGTAAATCTGGCCTTGCCCCCTTTATAAATATGATAAAGATGGAGTATCAAAAACTCCTCATCAGCTCTAAAAATGTGCATACTACATAGAAAGTTTTCACATCAAAGAGAATTCGTAGACTTGTGAATAATTTGTAAGATTGAATTTGGAAGAAAATCTTAAAATATTAAAAACTCGTTCATGATTATTGAAGCATCATTTTAATATATATATTATTACATGACTTTAAGGGCTGTTCACCTTTTTTCTATTAACCGTTTTAAGTTTTAAATGTTGTTTTCGAGCCGCCATTGTCTACACTGTAAATCATAAAACTGAAAATTTAACGGATTTTTCAGATTTTTCGATGTATTTCTCAAACATAAATTTAATTCGAAATTTTTTCAGACAAGGAAAAATATTTATATATTATATATTTATGATGAGCAGGATTCCTGAGATCTAAATATCTTATTCCAAGTAGAAGTTGACTCCAAATATCTTCTTCCTACATTAAAGATAAGATTAAAGATAAGATTAAAAGATTGAATAATTAATATTGATATCTCAAATTTCAGGCTAGGGGGCGGGGGGGTCGTCATTATTGGAAGCTCATTGGAGTTCCTTTTTATTCACTCCAAGATTTTTTATTAGAGAAATGTGACGACAGATTTTTCCCCCGGTGGCCTTTTTTTATTTTTTTTACTCTTCGGAGACCTTTCTATCAAAGATACAACTTTAGCTATCAAAACTTTTTATATATTTGCGTTATAAAGATTGTAAATATATAGAAAAATTGTTAGATTAAAATAAATCACGAAACCTTAGGAGCACAAATTATTCCAACATACGTTTTAGTTTCAACTGCGACAAATTATTTGAAGAATAAGATTCAGTAATTAGCTAGTAAATATTTTTCAAATTTATTTTATTAATTTCCGGTCAACTTTTTACCTTGGATTTAATTATTTTACCTGGTTCACACTGTATCTATACCAGACTGTATCATCAGCTACTCCTCTTAGTTTCATGTGGGACCCGGAGTTATGAGTTCCTGGGATCATTAGAGAGTGGAGAGGGACGGATCCAAGGGTATCTTTCATTTCTCTCATCCATCTAGGATACATATTAATAGAGGTCAATCTAGGATACATGTAATAGAGTACCATCTAGGATACATATAAATTAGTTGTATAGGATACATAGTCTACCATCATCTAGGATACATTTATTTGAGTTTTATCTAGGATACTGATAATAGAGTTCTATCTAGGATACGTTCCATCCATAGAGTAATAAAACGAAGAGGTGAAGCTTAGCTCAGATGTACACAACCGACCTGTCTATTAATTAATTAATAGACAGGTCGGTTGTGTACATCACGATATGTTTACGTATCTCTAACGATGTACACTTGTATATTGAGCGATCGTATTTCTAAAAGAGGATTTTATGGAATTGACCAATTTTTAGATTTTCTTTCTTTATTTAAAGAGAATTCGAGGATGTTGACTGCAAATATTTGACAATTTTCAAAGGAATTGAGTCTTTGCCACAAACTCTGATTATCTGATCACTATATCTTTAGAACCAAATTTTGCAGACCTTAGATATTTCAAACTATGAATTCTGTTAGATCAAATAATCTGAGTTTGAAATATCAAAGGTTTACAAAATCGAGTTCTAAAGATATTGAGGTTTAAATATTTGATTTTGTTCCAAAGACTCAATTCCTTTGTAGGTTTTCAATTTATTAGCTAAAAGTTCTGTCAAAAATATTAAGTTTCTAGGGCATGAATTTAACTGAAAACATTCTTGTTTCAAACATTTTTTATTGCTTCTTCTCTTCAACTCTTTATCATGAACATGATAGTGTATGCAGGGTTACCCACAAAGATGAAACAACGATGACGACCTGGAGCTCCTAACCCTAAACAGGGGGGGGGGGCATTTGGCTCCCCCTCTAGTTTTTTTACTCTTCATAAATAGAAATTTAAAGGATTTATTGGTAATATTTGTATGCCTACGGTAGGGTGCAGGGTGATAAAAAACCATGTATGTAAAAAAATCTTAAATAGCCCATAACTTTTTTATGACTAAAGCTACAGATCTGAAAAGCCCTTGAAAAATGGGTGTAGAAACGTGTGTCACACTTTGATATTTGTTTTAAACAAAAAATTGTTTTTTTTACATTTTTTCGACCTAATATATCTAATTATCAATACTAATATTCAAATATCTACATTAAACCACTCCTTAGAAACACGATCGCTCTATACAGCGTTAGATACGTAAAAATATCGTGATGTACACAACCGACCTGTCTATTAATTAATTGATAGACAGGTCGGTTGTGTACATCTGAGCTAAGCTTCACCTCTTCGTTTTATTACTCTATGGTTCCATCTAAGATACAAAAGTTTATATTAGCATCTGTAAATGTTTGAAATTATACTTTAATAGAGCGCCCCTCTTTCCATGCCAACATCTTTTCTTCATAAATCATAAAACTAGAAAAACTTCGCAGATTTTCCTGTTTTCAATGGTTGATGGCAAAAAAAAATTGAAGGCGGCATTTTTTTCGACCAAACACAAGTTTAGACAGAACCCTTCCCTTGTTGTTTATTTAATATCTAAATTAATTCCTTAGAAAAAAATCAATGGATACGATATCAAAGATTTGCCCGAAATTGCTGACTATCCGAAAATATATAAAATGTGTCTATAAGTTCTCTAGAGATGGCTGTATGTGCAATGCAGGTGTGATAAATTATAAATTCCAAACTTTTCATTTCAGATCCAAGTTTCAGTCTCCATGGAGCTCTACGAGTAGGTGTTCCATAGAAATTAGACAAAAGAAATTCTAGACCAGTGGTTTGGGATATTTATAATACACTGTGTTGCCCACAAAGGATGAGACTTCAGAGACGATTGTACGTAATTTAAACTGGCTGTTTCCCTATATTCACGATTCCCTGGAACTACAAACTTCTTCCTTTCTTTGTCAAATATTTAAAAATACCATTAGATCAGAAACCTGTTAAATTACTGATCAAAAATTCGAACAGGAAAAAGTAAAATGATTTAAACATGCAAAATTTTCAAGAATTAGATAACATATTGAAGGTAATACACGAAAGGAATTGAGTCTTTGCCACAATCTCTGATTTTATAATTCCTATATCTTTGGAAACCAATGTCGTAAATCTTTGATATTTCAAACTGATATTATTTGATCTAACAGAATTCATAGCTGGAAATATTTAAGGTCTACGACACTGGAATCCAAAGATATAGGATTTAGAAAAGCAGAGTTTGTGGCAAAGACTCAATTCCTTTGAAACAAAACTTGGAATATAATGTTTAATGAGACTGTAAGCATAACATCATGCATGATGTCCGATTTACAACGGTACTCTCACAAGAACTGTCTGAACAATTTCTAATTAGATATTAATGTTTATAAATTTGAAAACTAATTATTTTAAATTGTGGTTTCTCCACAAAAGCTACTTGCGCATTTCTACTGCAAGGTAGCCTTTTAGAATTATCGTTACTTAACACTTTTAAACCTAGAAAAACTATGATATATCCCACATTATTGATCATATAAAGGTTTCAAAATTACAGCTTTGAATCGGGAATTTTCATATTTGCATGGAGGGTCACCTGAATTTACGCTTTATCCCTTTAAAATCCAGGCATGGGATTTAAAAATATGTAAATGCAAATTTCCTTTTTATGAATTTGAAAAGACAAAGAGCATTTACATGCATAAAGAACAGTTCTTGTTTATAGTAATATTTCAATGGTATTTTTGTGAGCAATACTTCGAGGGGAATAAAAAGAAGTATTTAGATAAAAAAGTATATTTATTTAACTAACAACATATTCTGATATATATCCCGAACCCAAAAATAAAAATGACAGATGTTTTAGAACCAAATATAAAAATTATTTTATATTATACTGCTCTAGACAGAAGAAAAGGTGAATTTTATGCGACTTTACTGGGACCTCGTAGTTTTAATGTTACGGCTAAGTATGGAACAAGAAAAAAGAATTCTGAATAAAACATGTAGAATTTCAATATAAAAATTTACTTTGAATTGATATGTTATATGTAAATATCAATATATTCTGTTTGTTTGGACACGTATTTAATGTCGATTTACTTTGCATTTTTTGGGTATTTTTGGCCAATTCTTGTAATAGTTTTAGCTTTTTAAGGTTGTTTAACTTTCGATCATCTTTTCCAAGGTAAAAATGCAAGGAAAGTTATTTCAGAGGTGGAATCTTTTGTACTGCAATGTACAGTTTCTGGGCGGTAATGTAAACACAAGACGGATGTCGAAGCCTGACATGGGATTCAGCTTTCACTTAAAAAATCAATGAAATGTTCTGGTCATATATGGAAACTATTATTTGAATTATCAAAATTATCAAAATTTAGTGATTTTTACCTCCTCGGATACTAAACGAACACTGATGCATCTATTCTTGTTTACAAATTCCCCCCAGAAAGAACCGGTTTCAATATGTACTCAGAGTATACGCAACTGCAACTAACTTTCCTTGCAATTACCTTGATCTTATCTCCATATTACAAATGCAAAAACAGATTTTTAAGTTTTAATGGAAATGTTCCACAAAGAAATCTTTATATCTAAATGTTTTAAAATAAAATTGTTATCTACCGACCATGTACAATCATGTAAAGTCCGAGAAGATTTGAACCTGCTTAGACAGTTTTGACGTTTATGCAGTACACATTCAAACAAACAAACAAACCAACAGACAAACAGCCAAATATTTCAGATGTATACTACGCTTCCCGCCCATCCTCTATTTCAACTCTTAATAATGGCATTTTTAAAATTTCACAAAAATCAAAAGCTTTTGGATACAACCTTCCCTGGGGTCATGCAATGTCTCATACAAAATTTAGGCCCGATCGGTTTAGCCGTTTGGACATTTTATTGGATACAAACGTAGACAACCAGATAAACAGACAAGCACGTTTAAATATATTTATACATGCATATATATTACCTTGGTCTGGTTTTGATACAGTTGACAGAAAGAACCCGGTCCTCTCTACTTCAAACATTTTAAAAACAAAATAAAAATAAAAAATTCAAAATCCTTAAAATGATATCTTATAAATTGTAAAAATTTACATTTTTACCGATTCGGAAAGTTTTAAAGGAACTGTAAACATAATGTTTATAATTTTGAACACTGATTATTTTTAATTCTGATTTCTTCACAAAAGTGACTTGCGCATTTCTTTTACAGAAAAACAATGGAGTAATTATCAAAATTAAACACCTTTTAAGTTAGAGAGATTACCTTGCTTTCAATCTTAATAAATTTTTCTCAAAATTAACTATTATCTTAAAATATGAAAAAAGCATTTAATCAGAAATTGGCTGTTTTTAGTTTTGATTTTAAATTTTAAGTTTTTCCATAAAACATAAAAATTTAAATAAATAAACAAATTAAGATTAACGGACTTAAAAAGTCATTTAATTACTAAAACGATATTTATTCCTGGGAAATCGATGTAACAGAAAAACTATTCTTCAAAAAGAAAAATGGATTCCATTTAGTGAAAAAGTTTTTATTTTGATAATGATTTGTTTGAATGAAAAGTCCCTGACGTATGCAATCCAGTAATGGAACAAACACTGATCAAGAAGTTCAGTATCAAGCATCAGGATAGATGTGTCGGGAAACTGTTCCTCTGTCAGGAAATATGAACCTAGACATATTCTATTCTAGTAAATCAGGATTGTCAGGAACTGTATATATATATTTGGAAATATAAACCTAGATATATTCTAGTAAATCAGGATTGTCAGGAACTGTACTGTATATATATCAGGAAATATAAACCTAGATATATTCTAGTAAATCAGGATTGTCAGGAACTGTATATATATATTTGGAAATATAAACCTAGATATATTCTAGTAAATCAGGATTGTCAGGAACTGTATATATATCAGGAAATATAAACCTAGATATATTCTAGTAAATCAGAATTGTCAGGAACTGTATATATATCAGAAAATATGAACCTATATATATTCTAATAAATCAGGATTGTCAGGAAACTGTTTATCTGTCAGGAAATATAAACCTAGATATATTCTAGTAAATGAGGATTGTCAGGAAACTGTATATATATCAGGAAATATAAACCTAGATATATTCTAGTAAAACAGGAGTTGTAAGGAAATTGTATATATATCAGGAAATATAAACCTAGATATATTCTTGTAAATCAGAATTGTCAGGAAACTGTAAATATGTCAGGAAATATAAACCTAGATATATTCTAGTAAATCAGAATTTTCAGGAAACTGTAAATATATCAGGAAACATAAACCTAGATATATTCTTGTAAATCAGGAAGTGTCAGGAAACTGTATATCTGTCAGGAAATATAAACCTAGATATATTCTAGTAAATCAGGATTGTCAGGAACTGTATATATATCATGAAATATAGACCTAGATATATTCTAGTAAATCAGAATTGTCAGGAAACTGTAAATATATCAGGAAATATAAACCTAGATATATTCTTGTAAATCAGGATTTTCAGGAAACTGTGTATATATATCAGGAAATATTACCGTGCTAGATTTTAATTTCAAACTTTGATCATTTAATCCAGAAAAGAACTCAATGACCTGAATTTGGATTCACAGATACTACAGGGGATCCCAGGTAGGATTGTGGATCATCCTTGAACAATCCAATATAATCCCCAGACTGAGCAAACCTGAACAATCCAATATAATCCCCGGGCTTTAAAACTGGTTTAGTTTATTTTTGTAAACTGGTTTTGTTTATATTTATCAAACGGTTTAGTTTGGCTTATAAAATGGTTTCATATATGTTTGTAAACTAGTTTTGTTTATGCGAGTAAACTAATTTTGTTAATGTCTGTGAACTGTTTTTTATGTATGTAAACTGGATTTGCTTATTTATGTAAACTGGTTTTGCTCATGTTTTTAAACTGATTTTGTTTATGTTTATTAACCGGTTATTTTTACCTTGAGGAGGGTAGGACCCAGTTCAACTCTAGGTTTCTCTTTGACACATTTCCGGACCAAGATACATAACCTAGAAAACAGGATATACAGGGTGTCCCACATCATATTAGATCGTCTATAGCTCAAAATTGTGATTTTAGGAACTAATCAGAAAATTTGAAAACAATGAATCTTTTTTAAAAATGTAAAAGTTTTCTTGCAGAAAATACTCGGTTTTTTGAGTATTATGTACGCGTGTTTTGGCGTTAAAGCTTGGAGATAATCTATTATAATATGGGACGCTCTGTATCATACATAACCTAGAATACAGGATATATCATGCATAACCTAGAAAACATGATATATTATATAGTCTAGAATACAGAATATAGTGTATATAGTCTAGAATACAGGATATATCATTCATAACCTAGAATACAGGATATATTATATGTAGCCTAGAATACAGGATATATCATTCAAAACCTAGAATAAAGGATATATCATACATAACCTAAAATACATGATATATCATATATAGCTTAGAATACAGGATATATCATTCAAAACCTAGAATAAAGCATATATTATACATAACCTAGAATACAGAATATAGTATATATAGCCTAGAATAAAGGATATATCATTCATAATCTAGAATACAGCATATATTATATGTAGCCTAGAATACAGGATATATCATTCAAAACCTAGAATAAAGGATATATCATACATAACCTAAAATACAGGATATATCATATATAGCCTAGAATATAGGATATATCATACATAACCTAGAATACAGGATATATAATATATAGCCTAGAATACAGGAATATCATACACAACCTAGAATGCAGGATTTATCATATATAGCCTAGAATACAGGATATATCATTAATAACCTAAAATACAGGATATCTAATACTTGACCTAGAATACAGGATATATCATACATAACCTGGAATACAGGATATATCATACATAACCTAGAATGCAGGATATATTATACATAACCTAGAATACAGGAAATATCATGCATAACCTGGAATACAGGATATATCATGTATATAGCCTAGATTACAGGATATATCATAAAGCCTAGAATACCGAATATATCATAAAGCCTAGAATACAGGATATATTATATATAGACTATAATACCGGATATATCATAAAGCCTAGAATACCGGATATATATTATAAAGCCTAGAATAAAGGATATATCATAAAGTCTAGATTACAGGATATATCATAAAGCCTAGATTACAGGATATATCATAAAGCCTAGAATAAAGGATATATCATAAAGTCTAGAATACAGGATATATTATATGTAACCTAAAATACAGGAAACATAACCTAGAATAAGGGAAACATAACCTAGAATACAGGAAACATAACCTAGAATACAAGAAACATAACCTAGAATACAGGAAACATAACCTAGAATTCAGGAAATATAACCTAGAATAATGGAAACATGACCTAGAATACAGGAAATATAACCTAGAATATTGGAAACATAACCTAGAATATTGGAAGCATGACCTAGAATACAGGAAATATAACCTAGAATATTGGAAACATAACCTAGAATACAGGAAACATAACCTAGAATACAGGAAACATAACCTAGAATACAACGAAAGCATACTTATTTTGTAATAACAATACATCAGAGATCAAAGGCGATTCCTATACAAGCCGTCTTCCAATTGTTATAATTATAGTGGGAAACCCTGAACATAAATACAGAAATGGCGAACTATAACGGAGTTAAACTTAAAATACTATTTTATAACGTTAATTTTTGGCTCAATCTTTCAGCATTTTCTTTGATAAACAATAATTATTAGAATTTTACAATTTTGTTATCGTAGTTTTTCAAAATACGAAAATCTAAAATTTGTGGAGACAACTTTTTGTAATTTTGATCATCCATTAACCTTCCCTGCAATAAGGTGGGTCGCCACACAAAGTTTGGGTCCAATCGGTTCAGCCGTTTTGACGTTTATTGGATCCAAACAAACAGACAGACAGAAATACAAGCAAAAACTAATCTATGCAAGCAAAGTATTTATATAGATAAGACATATTTATCAAGATAGAACAGATAAAAGATCAGAAGAGAAACATTTAAATGATTGAACAAGGAATAAGGTCCAGAGTGGCTCTTTAAGTTTTAAGAACACAATTTCTTTCTTGAGAATGTGTGCACTTATCAAACACAAAAAAATGGTTTATTATCTATAGAAAGCTTGTTATCAGCAACTGATTATATAACTTTCGTTTCGAATAACTGTATGTTTTGAATAACTGTATGTTTTGAATAACTGTATGTTTTGAATAACCGTATGTTTTGAATAACTGTATGTTTTGAATAACTGTATGTTTTGAAAACTGTATGTTTTGAATAACTGTATGTTTTTCTTTTCATTATTGCTTAGTTCTGATTCTATTCCATATCTTCATTAAATTAGATTCAGCTAATATAATTAATTGATTCCAGTCTAGTTTGCCAAATAATCAAAAACTTATACACTAGATGTAAACATTAGGAGGAGAGAAACAGATATTTTCAAATAAAACTTCTATTTGAAAAACAAAAACAAAAAACAAAAACATTTATATTTTAGCCTTTTCCTTACAGGGACTGTAAACTTAAAGCTCCATTTAAATAAAAAGAGCCATGGTATGTTTTATTCACAATGATGCCCATAAAATAGGATGTACAAGTGAAAAGGGTGAAAGTACTTTTGTTTTTATAACTTTATAAATTTCTTACTTTCCATTTTAGATTCCCTACAAAAGTTAATTGCAGATTTTGCAGTCAAGGAAACGAAGATAAGTTGTCAGAATTTAAAGAATTTTCAGATAGAAAAATTTATATCTTCCTCATTTTGTTACTTAGATAAACGTTTATAGGGTACCGTTGTGAATCAGGTATGAACCCTTTAAATTACGTCGTCAGTCCCTTTAAAGTAAAATACTCTGGTCCTGTCCACTTTGTGTCATGAAACGTTATTTAGAATCTGACAAAACAAACAATTATTGCATTCATTGCATAAATATTGTTTTCCTTTTTACCAATGTTTTTAAAAGCTTACCTAAACTGCTCACTGTGAGGAAGACGTAGAGGTTTGGAGAACTCATCGATCTGTGTTAAATCCAACCCTGAGCTAAATAATCCTAATCTGTCTTAAATCTAACCCAAAGCTAAATAATCCTAATATATGCTAAATCCAACACAGAGCTTAATAATCCTAATATTTTATAAATCCAACCCTGAGCTAAATAATCCTAATATGTGCTGAATCCAACCCTGAGTCAAATAATCCTAACTTGTGTTAAATACAACCCTGAGCTAAATAATCCTATTCTATGTTAACTCCAACCCTGAGTTAAATAATCCTAATATGTCTTAAACCCAACCCCGAGCTAAATAATCCTAAAACGTCTTAAATCCAACCTAGAGTTAAATAATCCTAGTCTGTGTTCAATCCAACCCAGAGCTAAATAATCCTAATATCTGCTGAATCCAACCCTGAGTCAAATAATCCTAACTTGTGATAAATACAACCCTGAGCTAAATAATCCTATTCTATGTTAACTCCAACCCTGAGTTAAATAATCCTAATATGTCTTAAACCCAACCCCGAGCTAAATAATCCTAAAACGTCTTAAATCCAACCTAGAGTTAAATAATCCTAAAACGTGTTAAATCTAACCCAGAGCTAAATAATCCTAATATGTGTTAAATCCAACCCTGAGCTAAATTATCTGATGTTTTTAATCAACCCTTGATACAAAAAATCAATATTTCTTACATAATCAAACCTTGCATGATCTGAATAATCATTACTTGTTAATCAAACAGCATTATTTAATTAATGGCATTGTACTTAAGAAAACTTTATTAAGTAAGAATACTACACTGGAAATCGCAATGCAGTCAAATTTTTTTCGTCTTTTTCCATTTTTCATTTTGAAATGTTACTCAAGGTTTTTGTAATTTGTGACTCCAATATTCATTTATATTTGCGCTTAACATTTTGGCGACTTTAGTTGCATTATTTTTTGCAATATGTGGAATTTTTGCATTTGGTTTTATATTTACAGTACATATGCATGATATTTACATATTTGCAACATAGCGTTTAATTGTTTAGAATTCATATTGCTAATTGATGCATGTGAGTCGACACAAATAAATGTACAAATTACATATTTGAAAAATTCCCCCCATATCCCAGCCCAATCAAGCATAATAGTTTATGTTTAGGTCTGTGTTTGTATTCGGGAGGGATGAAATAACAGGAATTTATATTACGCAAGATCTATCAATATTAAACCTTTATTTACTTTATAAAATCATGTGTCGGGTTCAGAAAGATAAATAAGTTTTTCAAGATCAAATACATAGTTTACATGCTTTCATAAACAAAAATCACTATTCTATTCTATTTAGTATCAGGATTTGGTTTTTAATTCATTTCAATAATGTGAGTTACCCAACCGTGTATATTTGGAAGGATTTGTGGATAATGTGGAATTAGAAAATGAAAAATAGATTGATGAATTAAGAAATATAAAATAACAAAGATCTGTTTTAATTTTTTTTTTCAATATTTTACAATTTTTTTAAAATCAACTCTCAAAAAGCAGTAATTCTACTTTTTTATTTTTATTTAAATATTTTGAAAATATCCTTTTTTTAAAAAGATCCTGGATTTTATAACTTTCAATTGTTAACAATTTCCGCTCGGTTTGTTCCTTTGAATAGTTTCACTACAACTAGTCGCGCTTCTTCGTTCTCTTACTTTCACGCTTTTATCAATTTGTTTTTCTTTAATATGTTCTTCTTCTATAGATATTTCATCTTTATGTTTCTCATCATAATTTGTATTCACGAAATGAAGGGAGCTATACGTAAACATCTTAGCATTGAGGTTTTGCGTAAATCTAAATTGGTTGCTTAACAAAATTAAAATTTTTATTGTTTACTAGCTTGGGAACGCACCGCTGTCCAGGTTTTTCATTGGTACTCCCGCCGTTTACCCGCACTTGAACGATTTTACCGGGAAACTAGATTTTCGCTCAACTCAGAATCTTCAAACCAAGCTCAGAACATTTATGTAGGTTTCCCGAGTTCCACAATCAAAATTTGATGCAAATCGGTCCAGGGGTTCCCGAGTCGGACTAACAAACAAACAGGCAAATAGAGATTACAACTTTAAATATATAGATTCAATAAGTTTTTGTTAAAGTATACTTTCTTGTTTAATAAAACTTTAGTTGAGAAAAATTATTTGTGTTAATTATCTTTAAAGAAAAAATTGAATTAGTCTTCTTCTCTTATATTTATGGATCAAGACAATGAAGATTATATAAACCTCAATGTTAAGAGATCTACTTGTCAGGGTTGGAATTTACTCCGTCCTGGAATATAACCAGGAGCAGAACTGTGTGTAGGTTCAACATACTCCGTGGTCTATATTATACTGGAGAAATCCTCAATTATTTCCAATTATTGAAACTAAACAAAACATAAACTTTCAAATGTTCCACCCTCATAATATTAAGTCTATTATAGATATGGGACTAAATTGTTGAAAGGGGAACTGTAATTTCATTTTCTGTGGGTAGAAACAAATTCAAACTTATTTACTAAGTATTTAAAATACAAATTAGCTACTACTTAAAAATCCATCATTAAAGAATTTAGATGATTTTAAAAATTGATTTCGTTAAATGTTTCTCTTCCATAATGATTTCCAGAAAGATTTTTGACTGTTGGAAGGATTTCAGGATTTGAAAATTAGATGTTGTAGCAAAGAATTAATCCCTGATCACATTTAATGATTTTAATGAATTTAATTTTTGAATTGTCAAATGGGTAAAACCCTAAAACAATCATCGTGCATGGCGTTAAAGTAAAATGCTTCCGCGTATAATTTTTTTTGCGTTAGAATGGAATGTTTATTCTAAAAACAGCTGCAATTTATGAAATTTTTTCGCCGTTTTCTTTAAAGGAATTGACTCTTTGCCACAAACTCTGATTTTCTAATCCCAATATCTTTGGAACCCAATGTCGTAAATCTTTGATATTTCAAACTTGTATTGTTTGATCTAATAAAAGTCATAGTTTAAAATTGTAAAGGTTTACGACGTTGGAATCCAAAGATATAGGGGTTAGAAAATCAGAGTTTGTTGCAAAGAGTCAATTCCTTTCAAGAAAATTTGCGAAAATATAATTAGAAAATCAGGAAGTTTCTTTCATTGTACAAAAACCAAGAGAGTATTTACAATGTTTAAAAAACATTATGAATGAATGTAAGTTAGTCAAATATAATGAAGAAATGATTTATATATTATCAGCTGTGGATCATTATCTGACGGGGAACCAGTGTTGGTTAACAAATACCATGAATAATATATTTAGAGACACAAACATTTTGAAAGGGACTGTAAGTGTAAAGAGACCCTTTATATATGGAATGTCCGATACCCAACGGTTCCCTTGCAGGCCTTGTCTGCAAGTATCCGTGTTTATAATTTTGAAAATACTGCATCTTTTTCGGGGTTTTAATTGAAATGAAATGAATGAATCCATGTGTCCGTGTGTATCAGAGACAACTAGATTTAAACTAACTCTGGTTTCCAAATTCTAAACTTGTTTTCTCTGATGTGATTTTGCACTTTTCTTTTAAACTTTTTCTCTTGCTTCGTTAGACTGAAAACTGTTTAGTTTTTCATCTTGAGCTTGTGCAATAAAGATATCGAATAACATGCACGCAAATGTGCCAAAGAAGTAGCGTAAAGCAATTTGATTGGACCAAGTTTCACTTGAACAAAAGTATGTATCAAAATATTTTTCAAAACTGTGAGTGAATCGTTGTCTGATATTCTGATGTACAACTAATTGATTTTTGTAAAAATTGTAAAAATTGTAAAATTATTGCAAGAGGAGTTACGATGTCTCAAAAACATACCAGTAATACCCATATAATACACTTTTCAACAAGAGGGATTAAAAACATGTAAGTTTTCTAATTAACATGCACTCATTTATAAATGACAATCTTATGTTGTCTCATGTTTTATGTTAGTTCTCGTTTTCTCATTTCCGGTTTTTGTTTAACTTGAATTCAACACTTTGTCTTCGTTTGAGGAACTAAAACAAATGTTTCTGAAAATGATTTTATTTTGTGCATTTGCACCTTTTCTTTTACTTTGTCGTATTCTGAAAACTGAAAATAATTTGGTTTTAGAATTTTTTATTCAAAGTAAAGTTAAATATCTATAATGGGGGTTTAAAGTTTAGTCAGGATTTTGTACAGGGTGAACCAATATTACACGTTTTTTTGTTAGAGGGAGTGTTTGCACAGAAAATGAAAGGTGAGTTTAGGCTGAAATTTCGAATGAACGGAATTTTGCCTTTGCCATAAACTCAAACTTTCCAATCCCAGTATTCCTTTTCAACCTGACGGTGTAGATCTTTGATTTTTCAAACTTGAATTATTTGATCTAACAGAATTCATAATTTGAAATATCTAAGAACTACGCTATTGGGTTGCAAAGTATTGAGATTAAGGTTTGAGGAAAGACTCAATTGTCAATAGGCAACGTTTATTGGAACGAACGAGATTTTTTGTGAAGGAACGAAATTTTTCGTGAGAAAGGGTATCGTTGGACGAACGAAATGGATCGTTAAGAAAAATAAAAAAAATTATAGTTTATTAAAAAAACTAAAAAAACAATAACGAACGATTCAAAATTGTTTTTTTTTCCATACTTTGACCTAAGCAGAGAAAAGTTATCTATATATTACTGTGACGTCATAATTACACTGAGTTTTACCGTCTTTTCACCAACATTACCGTGTTTACCGACCCATGATTTACCCACAAGGGGCCGATACGTTATTTAAAGTTCCTTCGGATAATTAAGTAAAATTGCGCATTTTCTTCTCTAAAGGAGATAAAATTGTGTACAACTACTTGTTCTTGGGAACCCTGGGTAAAGTAAAATTGCGTATTTTCTTCTCTAAAAGGGAAAAAATTGTGTAGAACTAATTGTGCTTGGGAACCCTGGGTTAAGTAAAATTCCCTTAACTACTCTGTGAAGTAATTGTAAATAATTTTTATCCAGAACGATATTACAAATATAAACAAAGCTCTGAATTCCTGAAGAGTACATGAGAGCCGCGCCCTAGCAATAACTGTCAGAAAATGTTTTTTTTATAATAACTTTAGTTCTCGGGTTTTCCCAACGCAGGGTTATCCACAAAGAATGATATTTTAGAGACGACTTTACATGAATTTTTCTGTCTTTTTCCCACATTTGTGGACTTCTTTCTTTCTTTGAATATATTTATGGCAAAAAACTAAGCTCAACCTTCAGTTTATAATTATTAATGTGCTAAAGTGGTGGCTCAATGGGGGGGGGGAGTATAGGGTTTCCCCCCTTCATGGTCATTCGCGTTACCCCCTGGACGAATTTGGATCGCAACTAAAGAGGGAGGACAAGACTCAAATATAAGTTATTTTTTCTGTTTTGAAAAGTGGACACCGCCCCTCACCGTTTTTGGGGTTTCACATGAAAACGACAAAAATGCCTTTATAAAATTTCAGTAGAGGGGTGGGGGGGGGGATTAACTTGTTGTCAGGGAGGGATTAAAGAAAAATTCATATTTCAATCCCTTCCCTTTCCAGGATTATTATAGTCTCACGTGACTTAATTGAATAATTATTAAGTAAACAAAGATAAAAATTACATTAAAATCTAATAAAAGGATAATATCTTCAAATATTTATTATAAAAACTTTAATGTACATACTTTAAAATGAATAATATCTTTTGAAATACTATTTTTAATGTAATACGTTAGGAAAAGTAAAAATGTGTATTCAGAGGTTGATGTGTTTAAATCTATCGAAAAAATAACAATTTTAGAACGAATATGAATTTCAATTTGATATTTTTATTTTGAGAAAAGAGTCGTACAAATTTATACATAGCAGTCATCACAACAGTTTACTTTATAAATTATAAACCTTCACTTTTTAAAGTGACACGACCCATTCACCATGGTACCTTTATATCCTAGTTTGATCAAAGGTACAAATAGATTCAGCCTGCTTGTAGTAAGTCTCATCAATTTTTACGACAGGGTCGACTTTTAAGTGTCGCAACGCTTTGATTTTACCGCTAGAACTTTTCTGAAGCTCTTTACTTGTAAATTTTAGCACTATTAAGCACTTGTTTTTAGCTTTAGTTTTTATAAAGTAATTGGCAAAATTCTCTTAGATTTTTGTTTTAGAGCTTAAGACCTTTAACTCACAGTGGGTAAATGAGAAATCCACGTTTTCCTGGCTTAAAAATTAGTTATTTTAATTGTGGGTTCTTGCGAATTAATGGTAGAGAGACGATGAAGGAAATTGTCCAAATTCAACACATTTTAAGAATATTCTCATCGTTTCAGATAAAAGACATGCCAACTCTTTAAATGTGTAAAGGGTCGATTCAGATTTCGTCCATAGCCCCTTAATTCAGATTGCGTATATAGTCCCTTTAATAGAATCGTTAAACATAAAGTATTTGATATATATATAATATTAATTATCTTATAATAATCTTAAATTATATTAATTATATGCAAACCAGTCAGTTAAAAAAGGGGGGAGGTGGACTTTTAAAAAAGTCCTATACTAATAATATTAATATTGGGATTATGGATCAAAATTAAAAAAAATAAAATTTGAAGTTTTTGATTTAAACCGACTTTAAAACTTTTTAATATATGAAAACAATTAATGAACTTTTAGACTTATGCTGACTAATATTTGATTACTGGCCGTCTTATATAGGTTCAGGAATCTATTCTGTTTTATCTTCAAATCTAAAATTGACAATGTTGACTTTTAAGGGAAAATGTAATTAGATTCATTCAAAAATAATCAATATGTATTTGAAATTTTCCTAATAACAAACATGTTTGACAAAAATATAATTTTGAATTTTTATTAAGATATGATTTATTCTCTACGATTTCCACACTTTTTAACACAGGGTTTAAATTATGCATGTATGATACATTTGGTTACTTTAATCTTATTTTCAACTATTTTTCTACTTAAGGACATATCAGCATTATTGTGCATTTGGTAGATGATGGTGAAAAAACAAATTGTTAAAAAATATGTTCACAACGTACATGCAATGAACAGTATAGAAAGGGTTTACATCACAATTGTGTACTTCAGTACATTACGATTACTGAACATGACAGTACATGAGTACAAAGTTTGAAATATCCATGATACAGCCCGGGAATTACGTGGCAACGACATTTACAATTCGGTACATGAACAGTAGTAAATACTATAGCACAGGTTTTAAGGTTTAAACACTGTGTACTTGTTCAGGTTTGAACACTGTGTACTTTGTTCAAATGATCTTCAGGTTTAAACACAGAGTGTTCTATTTAAATTATGTTCAGGTTTGAACACTATGTTCTCTGTTCAGAGAAAGTACAGGTTTAAACACTGTACACTGTTTAGAGAATGTTCAGGTTTGAACACTATGTCCTCTATTCAAAGAATGTTCAGGTTTAAACTCTGTGTACTCTGTTTAAAGAATGTTCAGATTTGAACACTGTGTACTCTGTTCAAAGTATGTTCAGGTTTGAACACTGTGTACTACTATCTGCCGAGATGTTCAGTATTCTGTTCAAGAAATCAGCAACCTAGAAATATTTATTTCAATTTTAATCAACTTTGCTACTGAACAATTTGTTTTCATTCTTCCGTTTCTCTTCTTCTATTATTTTTATTTCAGATCTAATTTCCACTGCTCATCTATCTTCTCGTTTTTATCCGATCCTTATATATTAATTATCAGATTTCTTAATCTATCACTTTTTTCTGTTTAAAAAGGCTTCAGAAGTAATTTAGTGAGGGCATGTTTAATTTAAAAAGAGGCACTCTTAAAAACTTTGGTATGGCAAAAGTAACAATGAAATCCTAGCTTTTATATCTGAAAATTAATAATTCTCAATTATTGTTTCTCTGTTTGTGTGGCATGCAAATTTAAGCATGAAAAACAATAAATGAATTTATTAGAATTTAGCACTTTTCAAGGGAGAAATTCGAAATGGTTACCATCATGAATTTTGACTTAGATATACGTCGTCCCTTTACTTAGATATACGTCGTCCCTTTACTTAGATATACGTCGTCCCTTTTTTTCCTTTTTTACAGTTTTTATTTCACCCTCTTCTCTGTAATATAATTTCTTCTTTTGTACACTTTTTATTTTACTCTCTTCTCTATAATGTAATTTTTTCTTTTGTACAATTTTTATTTTACTCTTTCCTCTGTAATATAATTACTTCTTTTGTACAATTTATATTTTACTCTCTTCTCTGTAATATAATTTCTTCTTTTGTACAGTTTTTATTTTACTCTCTTCTCTGTAACATAATTTCTTCTTCTTCTTCTTCTTTTAACCTTTCTTTTCACTACATTTATATTTTTTTTTAACTTTCTCATGTCTTATAAATTTTTTTCTTGTTCTTACCTTGTTAGTGGACTTTTTCTTTCCCGAAGCTTTAACCCTGAGCGTTATCTGTGTGAGAACCCCAACCAGGAGTTCATCTATATTATGATTTATACCTAGAATACAAATACTGTTAAAGAGAAAGTCAAATTATTTTTTTGTGGCCCTTCATTTTTTACTTTTTTTTTATATTTTTTCACTTGGATACTATCCGCGAATATTCTTAGCATTGCAACTGTTTTGTTTAAAACTACCATAACAGATTATAACAATGAAATCCTTTTTTTCTAATTCACTTTTTCTGTTTGACCAAAGCCGGAAAATATGGCTCGACAAAGAAGCAATTTGTTTTTTCCAAAATTAAGATCCCAAAAATATTAGTTATTTCTCAGATAAAGAATAAAAGAACTGTTTTATTTTTAAATTTTTATTAGAAGAAACTAACCAATCTGCCTCATCTTTCTAATCATATCTTTAAGATAATACTATTAGAAGAAACTAACCAATCTGCTTCATCTTTAAGATAAAACTATTAGAAGAAACTAACCAATCTGCCTCATCTTTCTAATCATATATTTAAGATAATACTATTAGAAGAAAGTAACCAATCTGCCTCATCTTTCTAATCATATATTTAAGATAATACTATTAGAAGAAAGTAACCAATCTGCCTCATCTTTCTAATCATATATTTAAGATAATACTATTAGAAGAAAGTAACCAATCTGCATCATCTTTCTAATCATATATTTAAGATAAAACTATTAGAAGAAACTAACCAATCTGCCTCTTCTTTCTAATGATATATTTAAGATAAAACTATTAGAAGAAAGTAACCAATCTGCCTCATCTTTCTAATTATATATTTAAGAAAACTATTAGAAGAAACTAACCAATCTGCCTCATCTTTCTAATTATATATTTAAGATAACAAAGAAAGCAAATGAACAAAATTCAATGAAAAACTCCCAAAATTATATCTCCAGCGCTCGGAACTAGCCTGGACCGAATTTAAATTTGAGCCGCGGCTCAATCATGGTTGGTTCCACTTAAAATTGAATGCAGTGTTTCGAGATTTGAGCCGGCGTTCAATTGGAACCGGTTTTGGCGGTTCAGTAACGCGGTTTAAATTCTTAAAAATCGGGCTATGACCTATAAGATAGCATTTCAGAAGTTTGTCTTAAAACGTCCTAAAAAATTTAACTATTTAATCGTTCACAATGAATATGGTAAATAACTGAATGTTACAAAAAATAAAATATTTTTTTAGCCGGTTCAATTTTCGTTTAAGTAAAATTTCAATAATGATTCTTTTAATATCATTAGTTTTAACATTCCTTGTCAGCAGTTTGGTATTTAAATTTCTTTATTTTAACCCTAACAAGGGGGGGGGGGGGGGGGTTGTAGAGGCCCCAAAGACTTTTTGGGATTAAATTTATTTTTTTAAATGTTTGCAAACAGAGGGTCTACTTTCTTCATTATTGAATTCGAAACTATAATATAAATTTCTTATTTAAGAAGAATAATTCATATTGCATTAAACATATATAATGCTACTTGAAGTAAATATTATCATTATTTCATTTGATTAAATGAGTGTTTCTATATTAATGAATATATTTTATCCACAATTGTCGATTAATAATTTATATATATATGTATATCTAATCCCCTTGGAAAATATTTCTAAGAACTTACAAAGAAATCTCAGGATTAGATTTCCTCAGCAAATATTACTTATTCAAAGTACATTTTAGACCTCTGGGCATTTTTCAAATGTTTTTTTTTATTTCAGAGATTATTTCCAAAAACATTATTTTCCATGATTTTATTAGATGGATTTGTTAGTATTTACCTGGAGAGGTTTCTATATATTTAATACCGAACCGTACTGCAACTGCTTTCCCAGCTGAAACATATTTGAATTTAGTACGAAACTAGTTTTACCGAAATTTTTTGAAGAATTGCATTTTAAAGGGACAGTAAGCGTAATTTCAAGTGACCCTTCATGTAAAGATAGAAATGCCAATCTAATCAAAAATGTTGAAGATGTCGAAGATGCCTTTTTACTAAGTGTTAAAATGTTTAATTCTGGATAATTTTTATAAATTATCCTGCAATAGAAATGCCCAAGTTACTCTTGTAGAGAAACTAAAATCGAAAATAATCAGTTTTCACAACATTAAACATTGATATTTATTTCATACTTGATCGGACATGGCCTTTAAAGGGAGTACCCGGTATTGCATGGTAGTTGAACTGAGAATGTAGTATTGTGGACAATTTTTTAGGAATCATTTGAGACCTTTGAGATGTTTTTACGGTGAATATTTTTTCAGCAAGAGCGCAAATTCAATCTTTAAAATCCTCATAGATTGTTCATTTTTGAGGGATGATTTTGAGAATCGGTTTTTACAGTAAACTAATTAGTTCTTTAGGAACAGGTTGAGAAAATAAAATTAACTATTATCATCAGAAATAAGTAATCTTTTTCAGTTATTGGTTTCTGCAATGCCTCATTGTTTACAAACATTTTCTGTAGATTTCCTGGAATTTTTATTGAAAAGAAGAAATTTGAAGAAATTGAAGAAATCTGCAAACAAATTCATAAATTTTAAGAAATCCAATATAATGATGAAAAAGAAATAATTGATTCTAACATTGATTTATTGAGAAAATTTTACTTGAAAAATATGTTCCTAGACATCTAATTAGTTTACTGTAGAATTTTTCTCACATTTTTTGTCGTCGTTATTTAATAATTTTTATTGAATCGATTCTGAAAACGTAACCCACCCAACTGGATGATTTTGAACGTCGACTTTGCGCTCAAACTCAGTAATTATACATCATTAAAACGGGTTATATGTATCAAATGAATCCTTAAAAAGTTCTCCACAATACTACAGTCTCAGTTCAACTACCATAAATTGCCGGTAACTCCCGTAAAAGATACCTTTCTTAGCATGGAGGGTCACCTACTATTGCGCTTAGAGTTACTTTAAATAGTACTTTGATACCGTTTAATTGGGTCAATTTTGTTTGTACTTATCAATTCAGTACAATATTCGACTAGAGCTATACGTTTTGTGCTTTCGTATTGTTTGGTTAGCTCTATATATTATGCTTTACAGTACAACTGTCATGTACTGTACTACTAGTTCTCTGTACTGTCCGGTACTGTATTACTAATTTTGTATACTGTCCGGTACTGTATTACTAATTTTGTGTACTGTACTGCTAGTTCAGCGTACTGTACTGTACTGTGCTACCAGTTCTGTGTACTGTCCTGTACTGTATTACTAATTTTGTGTACTGTTCTGTACTGTACTGTTAGTTCTGTGTACTGTACTGTACTGTGATACAAGTTCTGTGTTCTGACCTGTACTGCACTCCTATTTGTATAAACTTTTAGTTTCATGCACTGGGCTACTTACATACAGTGTGTTCTGTTTTGAACTGTGCTACTAATTCTTTGAACTGTCATGTACTGTACTACTTGTTCGGTGTACTATACTACTAGGTCTTGTACTGTACTACTTATTCTTTGAACTTTCCTGTACTGTATTACTAGTTCTGTGTACTGTCCTTTACTGTACTACTAGTTCTATGTACTGTCCTGTGCCCTACTACTAGTTCTGTGTACTGTCCTGTAACGTACTACTTGTTCTGTGTACTGTATTGTACTAAACTACTAGTTCTGTGTACTGTCCTGTAACGTACTACTAGTTCTGTGTACTGTATTGTACTAAACTACTAGTTCTGTGTACTGTCCTGTAATGTACTTCTAGTTATGTGTATTTTTATGTACTGTACTACTTGTTCTGTGTACTGCTCTGTACTTTACTACTAGTTCTGTATATTGTCATGTACTTTACTACTAGTTATTTCTGTGTTCAGTACTGTACTAATAGTACTGCAGAACTATACTGAACTGTATTAATATTACTGTGTAATGCAACTGTACCTGCTGTTTTTACAATTCTTTTTCGAACCAAATCTGTTTTGTTCGCCACTAGTATTACAGCTTTGGTTTCCAGCACACCAGACATTCTAAAATGAAATATTATATTAAAAAACATTTATGTCATCATTAATATCACAATGCACTCTAAGATCGTCTTTTTTAGTTTTAGGCCGTCATTTAAGTTCACAGTTTTAAACTAAGTTAAATGAAAATTAAAACTCTATTTTGAAATGTAAACTGTTCTTTAAATATAGATATTTAAGCTATGAGACTATATTTCCTGAATAAGTGCTGAGTTTGACATCAAAGGGTTTATAAAATCTCGGTTAAATTTTAGGATTTAAAAATATTAGAAAAGTGATGAAGCACTTGTCCCCGATTCTCAATTATTTTCTGCCAGAGGGCAGCATAAGCAAAAATAATCGAATATTAAGAAATCAGCAATGTAATATATATATCGAGTTCGACTGGAATTTATTGGAATTTTTGTCGAATATATTTAAAACCTAAATTAATAACACAAACATAATTAGTTTTAAATGATCCACATTAAAAAAGTGGTCTGATTCGCAAAGTTACCCTTTAAATTTTTATCTGATTCGCAAAGTTACCCTTTAAATCTTTATCTGATTCGAAAAGTTACCCTTTAAATCTTTATCTGATTCGCAAAGTTACCCTTTAAATATTTATCTGATTCGCAAGGTTACCCTTTAAATCTTTATCTGATTCGTAAAGTTACCCTTTAAATCTTTATCTGATTCGCAAAGTTACCCTTTAAATCTTTATCTGATTCGCAAAGTTACCCTTTAAATCTTTATCTGATTCGCAAAGTTACCCTTTAAATCTTTATCTGATTTGCAAGGTTACCCTTTAAATCTTTATTTGATCAATAATGGAGAAACTATCGTCTTCTTCTTTTTCTCAAGAAAAAAAGTGGAATTCTGTAATTTTAAATCTTTGTCTCCTTCCGCTTTGTCACTATTTAAAAAGAGAACAGAAAATTTTTTTGAAATAAAACGCCAAATTATATGTTAAAACACTAAATTGAACAATAGATTTGATTAAACTTTGAAATACAATAGAATAAACATTTCTTCTTCAATTTGATAGAAAAATTATGTATATAAAAACTAGTTACGCGGACTTGTCTACATGCACCAAATAGTATATTTTCATTTTGTTTAATAAAATTGCACCAACAGTTTTTTGTTGTTTTTGTAAAACAACGCTTATCTTGTTTTTTTTACTCTCCATGTATAGATACAATTTACTTTTAAACATTTAGGTAAGGGTTCTTTGTTTCAGTAAATAGGGTGTCTAATAAACTGTATATATTCACACTTATTTTCTTATTAAAACTTTGTCATTCTTTGAGAATAGATTTGTTTTCAAATAAACTAAAACAAGAAAATCCTCTTGTTCTCTCACAAACAAACTTTTAGTTCCTCCGTTTCCATCTGAATAAAAAATGAATGTTTTGAATGAATAAAAAACTAGATTCTCCATTAGAAAGATGAAAAAACGTTTTTAAATAAAAATGCCATTTTAGAATTTTGAAGAAGATGCATCCTGTTTCAAAACCAAATATTCCTATTCCTATTTTTGTAATATCCTGTTTTCCCCCTGCACACAAAATCATTTTTTATTCTTTTTTTTAAGAAGAAGAACAGCCAATTTGGGAGATATTTTTATAAGCCGATAAAATATAATGATGTAAGAAAATTATGTAAACATGGGGGGGGGGGAGATGGTAAGATTTGGTTTCAGAAACCCTGCAGGTTTTTAAACCTTTTTAAACGTTTTTAAAAACGATGAAAAAATAGACTCTATATAAAGTGCATAGTTATCTAGATAGCAGTTTAAAATAGACTCTATATATAGTACATATAGTTATCTAGATAACAGTGTAAAATAGACTCTATATAAAGTACATAGTTATCTAGATAACGGTGTAAAATAGACTCTATATAGTACATAGTTATCCAGAAAACAGTGGAAAATAGACTCTATATATATAGTACATATAGTTATCTAGATAACCGTTTAAAATAGACTCTATATAAAGTACATAGTTATCTAGATAACAGTGTAAAATAGACTCTATATAGTACATAGTTATCTAGATAACAGTGTAAAATAGACTCTATATATAGTACATATAGTTATCTAGGTAACAGTGTAAAATAGACTCTATGTAAAGTACATAGTTATCTAGGGAGAAGTGTAAAATAGACTCTATATATAGTACATATAGTTATCTAGATAACAGTGTAAAATAGACTCTATATATAGTACATATAATTATCTAGATAACAGTGTAAAATAGACTCTATATAGTGCATAGTTATCTAGATAACAGTGTAAAATAGACTCTATATATAGTACATATAGTTATCTAGATAACAGTGTAAAATAGACTCTATATAAAGTACATAGTTATCTAAGTAGGCAGTGTAAAATAGACTCTATATAAAGTACATAGTGATCTAGGTAGCAGTTTAAAATAGACTCTATATAGTACATATAGTTATCTAGATAGCAGAATAAAATAGACTCTATATAGTACATAGTTATCTAGGTAGCAGTGTAAAATAGACTTTATGTAAAGTACATAGTTATCTAGATAACAGTGTAAAATAGACTCTATATAGTACATATAGTTATCTAGATAACAGTGTAAAATAGACTCTATATAAAGTACATAGTTATCTAGGTAGCAGTGTAAACTAGACTCTATATAAAGTAAAAATCGAGGAACTAAAGTTAACCCTTCGACAGAGGAAAACTTTAGTTCCTCGATTTTTTGTCATTAAAGTTGAGGTTTTGTCTAATTGTTAACCTAGTTTTCTCAAAAAGTTTTTAAAATATGTATGTTCATGATTTATAAAGCATGTAAAACCTGGTACAAATATGAATAATAATCCCGCATAAATATATGCTACAAGTAGGCTGTATGAGGGTGTCCTGACTAATTAACAAAAATAACAACGACATCAAGGATTTAAGGAAAATAAAAAAGTTTACACTGTGCTGTTTTTTAAAGCACCTTTTCGACCTAATTAGAGACAGGAAACAGTTTTTTTAATAACATGTTTTTTTCTGTATGTTTGTTTATTTTTATTTTAAACACGTCCAAAGGGGGGATATGATCTGGAAATTAAGTTGTATAGGAACTCACCGTGTGGTATGTGTACTAGTACTATGTAGTACCAGTGATCAAAGAGGGCCGTCATGGTCGGTCAAAATTAAAACTTTTGGCTCAAAAAATGTCAGGCTTCAAAGAAATCTTCTATTTTATCGGAAGCATTTTTACTTATAAAATCGTAAATGGTGTAATTTTAATTTATTAGTTCTCTAATCCTACCTAAGATATGAAAGTATTCTCTCCGCCTGATCAAACGAAGCTTTGTCATCAACTGCTGCTACAACCAAGTAAGCAGAAGGTTCGTAGGTACTCATACTGTTCTCCAACTAAACAAAATAGTTAGATATTTTCTCACTAGGTGTAATTACTTGATTCTTTAACACGCCCGCAGTTAAGCTTCAATTTCTTTCCAGTGACCAGTTTTAATGATCAGCAAAACCTAGTTGAACCACATAGACAAAGTTTAACCAGCACAAGAAGAGAAGTGTTTGAACTAAGTCGGTGCGCTGTAACAATTTTGCTCCATTCATTAAATTTGGTCTCCAGGTTACACAAAACATAAAGAAAACAACTTACAGGTTGTTTAAAATCTAAAATTCATTATCATTAATTATTTTTTTATAAAATGATTAATATAAAATTATATACAATCTCTAGAAAGTAATGTGGTGGCAATTGTAGTAGTTTAGTGTATAAAAGTATTTTATTTTAATTGATACTAATAAACTGAATTCAAATGTCGGCTAATGTTTTTTATCCCGTTGAAATGTTTTGAAAGATTAAGATTGCGAGGTTTACGTCAAGTTTCCCAGATTTTCCCCCAAATGTCATCAGGATAAAGTTTCAACCTCAAACATCTATATATAAATTTGGCTTGTCCCTCTGTTTGTCTGCACTGTTTGTTTGTATCCAATAAACGTCAAAACGGCTGAACCGATCGGGCCCAAATTTTTTGTGGGACATCTAGGGACCCCAGGGAAGGTTTATGAATGATCAAAATTTCAAATATTTGTCTCCATCAAAATTCGATCTTCATTAAATTTTTGAAAATTTTGAAAATCCACGAAATCTTTTGTGAAAATCCGCGAATTATTTTTGTTTTGTTTTACGATGTACACAAAGAGAACATGTCGCCCTCTAAGGCTAGTATATTATTCATACGCAAGCTTTTATTTCTCAAATTTTGATATTTTAAATATCAAAGTTTGATTTGAAAAACCTTGAATTCACAGAAAGTGTGAATATTTTTAGCTTTTAGCAGGTCTTGCTCAAAGTATCTTTTTTAAATGCGATGTTGGAGTGTTAAAATCCATGAATATGGTTACCTAGTACCTAAATAATGTATGAAAACTGTGTTTTTGTAATTAACTTAAACTATTTTATGATCTTTAGTTTACACTCTTGATTAAATTGAATTGAATTGAATATATCTCTGTGCTGATGAAAATGCAGACATATCTCAATGTTGATGTTCAATGAAGACAACCCGACATACCGACATATCTCCTTGCTGATTTTCAATAAAATTCTAACAAAATTCACACTTTTAAGTATACAATGTCAGTTGTCTAAGTTTAAAGATTTTCTTTTTATCCTTTATTTTTTAATTTGATAATTCGGATATAAAACTTTAATACTGCAATCAAAAAAACTAAACGTCACTTTTGTAAAAAAAATACGTCCGTAAGGTTAATTAAAAACTAAAGAAATAAAAATTCCCAGTAAAATCGAGTCCTTATAAATAAATTGTCTAAATTAATAGATTTTTATTGATATCGTTCAGAAATTGATCTTTAAATTAAGAGGACTTTGGTTTAAAATCTGAATCTTCCTTCTTACCCGGAATCTTCTCTCAAAATAAAATAATAATTTTTTTTTCACTGATTTAGTCTGAGAGAACTGTATCGCCTCCTAAACCAACAAACCTCACCGCCGAGAACCGAGGATGTCTCAAGAAAATGGGACAACTACGCTGCATCGATATCCCTAATTCGTAGCACAATACAAACGAGCACCATATCTGCTCTAGAGTATTGAAGATTTGAGAAAAATGAAGAGATTAAACCCTAATCTCTTCTCAATGTCCTAGACAGGAGCGCAGAACCGTCAATGTTCTACGTGAGTCTAGTTCTTAAATATAATGCGTTTTCTTACAATTGAAACTAAATGATTCTCTAATAAGCTATTCACATTTAATATTTCTTAATTTTGGAGTCTGTCATCTTCACTTTAACTAATGTAACGCCATACCAACGTAGAACCTTCAATGTTCTTCGTTAGTACAATCGATGTACTCTCCATATAGTGTACTCCGTCTTTATATCAACGTTTCATGAAAATTGTAAATTGTTTGCGCAAACCGATTTCTACACAAATTGCCCAAACTACATGAAAACAGTTCTTATATTAAAAATTTCTATTCAATCCGCATACCCTCTTATCGTCAATGACTTATTATATGCTTTTAATGTTCTACTACTTCACTGGTGTACTCTGTAATTTATATGTTTTGCAGGATCCAAGTATCCTTGATTGGAAATTTTTAATTTACGAAATGTATGAATTTAACCCTTATACAAATCTCTCAAAAATGTTAACGAATTTGTCGTTAGTATTGAATACATGTAAACTATTTTGTATTTATTTCACAAATCTCTCAAAAAGAAAATGTAAACGAATTTGTCGTTAAGCTTTATTAATGAACACATGTAAACTATGTTGCAGAATTTAAATAATAAGACAATAAATATTTAGATTTTAAAAAAAGATTTTCAATAAGGATGACCTGACCTACCGACATATCTGCATGTTTATGATCAATTAAGAAAAATATCCGGTTTAATGATCAACGAAGACCACTTAACTTACTTAGATATCTTCGTGATCAATGAATACGACCCAACTTATCAACATATCTTTATATTGATGATTAATGAAGACGACCCAACTTACCAACATATATTTATATTGATGATTAATGAAGACGACCCAACTTACCAACATATCTTTATATTGATGATTAATGAAGACGACCCAACTTACCAACATATCTTTATATTGATGATTAATGAAGATCGACCCAACTTACCAACATATCTTTATATTGATGATTAATGAAGACGATCCAACTTACCAACATATCTTTATATTGATGATTAATGAAGACGACCCAACTTACCGACATATCTCCGTGCTGATGATCAATAAAGATAACCCGACTTACCGACATATCTCCGTGCTGATGATCAATAAAGATAACCCGACTTACCGTCATATCTCCGTGCTGATGATCAATAAAGATAACCCTACTTACCGACATATCTCCGTGCTGATGATCAATAAAGACAACCCTACTTACTGACATATCTCCGTGCTGATGATCAATAAAGATAACCCGACTTACCGGCATATCTCCGTGCTGATGATCAATAAAGATAACCCTACTTACCGACATATCTCCGTGCTGATGATCAATAAAGATAACCCGACTTACCGACATATCTCCGTGCTGATGATCAATGAAGACTACCCGACTTACCGACATATCTCCGTGCTGATGATCAATAAAGATAACCCGACTTACCGACATATCTCCGTGCTGATGATCAATGAAGACTACCCGACTTACCGACATATCTCCGTGCTGATGATCAATAAAGATAACCCGACTTACCGACATATCTCCATGCTGATGATCAATAAAGACGACCCGACTTTCTTTATCGTTTACAGCAACACTCACTTCCTTCTCTACACAGTCTTCTGCTTCAACAGCTGAACAAAAAAGTCAAGTTTATTAGGAACCAGAAATTATCCAAATATTGCTTTAACTTTGAAATATCAAACATAACAAAACAAAACAAAAATAGATCAAAAGTTGTCTCAAGTATTCAGTGCATTTTTCTATCTTTTTTGTGACTGTTACTGTTTTTTCTGTCAAGATTTGCCCTCAACTGAATAATTTCACACATAATTTAGATAAAGCAGGTACATTTTAAAAAATTGTTTGCGGTATTTATCATTAAAAGAAAGAGTGAAGATGTCATTAGTTTTGCTTCATATTTAAAAATGACTATTTGAAAACGTTCTGAAAAGGATGAAAGTAAAAGAATCAAATTACATCAAATTAATGAAATTGCAAAAGTTTTGCAAGGTTTTTAGATTAAGACCGGGAAGTCCGGAATAAACCTTGAATAGAGTCTGATTAAAAAAATTGTAAATTTTCTTTTAAAGAGTTCCTTGAATTAATCATGTCAATTTTTATTCAAAGATTGAAAGGCTTTTAGCTCTATAGAAAACATAATATTATTAATTAACATAAAGACTGATTCTTCTTAATCATGATTCTATAAATCAGTAAATAAAAATCTTACTAATTGGCGGAATATACAGATCCTATAAACGAGTTATGCAATTGCCGTCGTTTTTAAGTTATTGAAAAAAATTACAAGGGGTGGTGATGGAAACCACCCACCCTCCTCAATCGTGATAAAGTTAAGATAAATGAACTTATCATGATAAACCCACTGAGCTGTCAAAACACCCTAAGATTATTTAAATATTTTAAGAAACCACATTTTTATTATAATATTTTATCCTAATTTCCTCCGAAATTGGTTTACTAATATAATATATAATCCAAACAGAGGGAGAGTAAAATACACGAAAATTATATCACAATATTTACTTAAGATTTACTTACTAACGGTCGTATCGTTATTTGACGAGATAATTTCAATATCAGATATAATTTTACGATGAAAATTGTTCTATCTATCTAGGTATCTGTATAATCTAAGGATAGGAATTGTGCAATGTATCTAGATATCTATATCATCCAAGGATAGGAATTGATCCTTTATTTAACCTGCTCTATCAAAGGTATTTATATGATCTGAGGATAGGAATTGATCCTCTATTTAACCTGCTCTATCATAGGTATTTATATGATCTGAGGATAGGAATTGAGCACACAGAGATGTTTTTCCAACCCCAGCAGCTCCCAACATCAAAACTCTAAAATTAAAAGAATATTTAATTTTCATAATCCACAAAAACTGTATCTATTTATTTCAAAATTATTTAGCTTTTATTCCCTATATGATACTAAGTACGGCATGTCTTTAAAGGGAGTGACCGGCTATGTAAGGTAGTTCAACTGAGTGTGCAATGTTGTGGAAAGCTTCTTTCGGATTCATTTGAGACATATTAAACTTTTTAAAGATCTGTAAATCCTGAGTTTGAGCGCAAATTCGACGTTCAAAACTCCTACTTTGAGGGTGGATAGGTTTTCAGAATAAATTTTTTTTTTAAATATTAAATAACGACGACATAAAATGTAAAAAAGTTCTACAATAAACTACAGACGTCATGTATAGGAACATGTTGAGAAAATAAAAATTAATCTTATCATCGAAAATAAGTGATCTTGTTCAATTATTAGTTTCTATTATCTCATTATTCTGGTTTCTCATTATTCACAAAGTTTCCGCAGATTTTCTAGAATTGTTATTGAAAAGACGACATTTGAAGAATTTGAAGAAATCTGCGAATAAATTCAAAGAAAATTAGAATTTCAATTTCATACTGAAAACGAAATAATCGATTTTAGCATTGATTTATTGACAATTTTCTTTTGAGAAATATATTCCTAACCATTTAATTAGATAACTGTATAATTTTTACTTTATTTTTCCTTGTCGTTATTTGATAATTTAAACAAAACTAATTCTGAAAACGTATCCACCCCCAAAGTAGGAATTTTGAACGTCGAATTTGCGCTCAAACTCAGGTTTTACAGATCTTTAAAAAGTTTGATATGTCTCAAATGAATCCGAAAGAAGTTTTCCACAACACTGCATACCCAGTTCAACTACCTTACATAGCCGGTCATTCCCTTTAAAGCGGAAACATTTTGTATTTTACCTTACTAACATGCTTATACTCGTTTAATGATCTAGAAATATATATTTTAATACTATAAGACAGTTCTTAGCTTTGGGTTTTAAGAAATAATTGGCAAAATTCTCATCGATTTTATCGACAGACCTTACAAGCTTTAGTTTATGCATCGTCGAAAAGAGTACGCTTAATTTCTAAGTTGTGTTGCCCATAAATCTACCTTCCAACTTTATCCCACGCAATGACGTCTTTACCACCCCTTCAGCTCGGAGAAGTCCAAACCAAAGAATACTCCAACATTCTACCTCTGTACTCAGACAAAGGAAAACATCGAAGAGTAAAAGGTTTAACTAATAAATAATTAAATCCACAAATAATTTTACAATCCATAGCAAGTCCACTTAAACAACCAAGGTTTCATTTTCAGAAGTATTTTCCAAATGTTTTAAGCTGATCCATCAAATCCTCTGAACCCTAACTACTCCTTTAATTACCCAGACACATCCAAATAGTAAATTTAAAAGCTATTTTATACACCAATACTTATTTTACTAAAACTGTATTTTTTTAGGTTTGAAATAAATCTGTTTATCTATTTATTTGCACCTAATCACCGACGCTCCGCTTAAGTTTCAACAAGTTTATAAAACAGTGCTTTTACTATGTCTGATCCTCCTATATACGTCAGTAAAAACTGCAACCTTTTTTTATAACCTTTGCTTGGTATTGTTTTAAGAATTTAGACATCAGTCCTAATACGTCACAGTCGAATGGAAGCAACCCTCTAATTCTCACACCTCATTAGATTTTCCAAGTAAAAAATATAAGATTGCTAAAGTATATCAATTTTAAAACCCTGTAAATAGGGCTTTGCACGTTCCGACTTTTTTTAAATCGTTCCGTTCTGTTCTCTTCTATATCCTTAATATGTACGATACCTGCTGTTTAGTCTGAGTGTTGTCAGTTTAGAAGATACCAGAGAAGGGTTCCCTTGTACAGACCTAACGGATTTATTTGTGTTTGTATGTTAATCCTATAAATAACCCAAGCCACGCCGATAACCCAAGCCACGCCAATTATTCCGTTATTCCAGAGGCCCGGGTGCTGGTGGGATGGCCGGCCAGCTCCCGGGGAACTAGGGTTAAGCTCTAGGCTAGGGCGGAGTGAAAGGAATTGAGTCTTTGCCACAAACTCTGATTTTCTGATCCCAATATCCTTGCAACCCAATGTCGTAGATCCTTGACATTTCAAACTATCAATTATGTTTGATCAAATAATCTAAGTTTGAAATATCAAAGGTGTACGCCATTAGCTTGCAAAGATTTTGAGATTAGAAAATTTGAGCTTGTGGCAAAAACTCAATTCCTTTGGGGAAAATAGGCAGTGGAAGACCAGCTCCCTGAATAATAGGTTCCCCTGGAGATCTCCCTAACTTTGGATAATCTTTATTCATGCTTATTGATTCGTATAGTATTTTCTTATTTCTATTCGTGTTTGTGTAAATAATAATAATAAATTGTAAAATTAACCGACTCGTTGAATATTTGATAATATGAGTTGTTGCCTTGAATTTTACATATACTAGAATTAAATCATAGTAATAATTTGCAAATGACCAGAGAAAATAGACATCACTATTAGATTTATTTAAAATACATTGATTTGCATCATTAGCGTTTGCATTAATATCAAAAGGATAAACAAAAAAGCTTTAATAAATATTTTGTTTTTAATTTTTTTGTTTTCTTTCAAGATTTCTGCTAAAAACATTTTTCTTAAGATTATCAAACAAATAACAATTTTTTTTAAATTTTTAGTTTTATCCTTCTTTAATAATTCTTATTTTCTGAATTCCCTGATAGTTCTTTAGCATCCCCTTTTTTATTCTGTTCAGTCCTCTCGAAAAAAAATATTTCTTTTAATCGATGAAATTACTATTTTCCATAAATTAATCTTCCATGATAGAAAGTCTAAGAAAAAGTGTTTCACAAGTTAAATGATTTTGTTCCAGATCCCATTTTTCTTTTCATTAATCATGCAATAGATTGAACCAAGGATAAAGATGAATGGATGGATAAAGGTTTAAACTCAGATACTATTTTTGCGGAATTCCGATTGGAAACCCTAGGATCAATATTCCGATTGGAAACCCAAGGATCAATATTTCGATTGGAAACCCTAGGATCAATATTCCGATTGGAAACCCTAGGATCAATATTCCGATTGTAAACCCTAGGATCAACGCTTGATTCCTCTGTTAAAGTTATCTAAGCGGGGAATGACCTTCGCGGAATATCGGAAAGGAATTAAGTTAATCCATAGATCTGCAGTAGATGGAGATCAATGCTTGAACCAGAGATTCACAATACAATAGTTCTGACTTTAGAGCTGAAGAATTGTGGATATTAATATCAATCCCTGGTCCAATCTTTTTATTAATCTGCAGATTAACATTTTGATATCCAAGAAAGTGTCTTAAATTAAACCAATCAGAGTGTCGTTGTCATAAACCGAACAGCCAATCAAATGCCTGAATATGTTGCAAACAATCAATGAGAGATCTCTCATTGATTGGAACCTAGCAGGGATATCCAAAAGAGAGGATTTAGCCGAAAATCAAAAGCATCCACATTGGATATTGAGATTAAGCGAACGGGATTAAGGATATGAAACACAAGGGTTTCCAGCTCAGGTCGTATTTTTAGATTCAAGCATAACATACTGTTGTTTCTTCATCCATAAGACAAGAATTAAAACGGTAGCTAGTTAAGGTGGGCAAATTAAACAGAGTTAACACGGCGTAATAGATTAATTGAAATATCATGAAAGTTAAAATTCATGTAAGAATCTAAATAACCGCCGACAAAAAAGAATTTTTCAAAAAGCGAAATTTAATGTTTAAATTGTTCAAATTGTGATCGAACGTCAAATCTTGCTGACTAAAATACCGATTGTTTAATCCACGTGATCTTGATGCATATAACTAAAAAACGCTTTATTAGCCTGCTTTTTTTTTAAACATCATAATTGGAATTTTTAAATACTCAAAGATGAGTTTTGAAATAAATATTTGAATTTTGCTTGACATATTTTATACAAATCAATAACATTTTCATGTTTTTACATAATAGATAAATATATCCAATAATCCTTGCAGACAAGAAATTTTTTCTAGTATGCATGCAATGCAATGTACAGTGATATATAGAGTGTGTACGCAAATGCATTGATTATTATTATGCAATTGACGCAAATCTGATAGGCATCTAACAGAATGAACAGAGCTGGGAACTTTTGAATGGTGGATATCGGGATTATGGCTTGATCCACTCTTTGTCTTAATCTCGAGATTAAATTATGCTTGTTCTCCTCTTGTTGTTAATCTCTAGATTAGTTAACCGATCGGGATTAAGGATATCTAAAGTTTTCAGCTCTGATCGTCTTTGCATGTTACTGGAGTCAGCTATATGATATATCCATATTAACTTTTTTATATCACTTGGCGTAAAATGAAGTAGATTTTATTGAATTTCTGACTGCATGCAAAGGAACTGAGATATCGCCACAAACTCTGATTTTATAAACCTTATATCTTAATATTTCAAACTATTCATTCTGTTAGATCAAATAGTCTAAGCTTAAATATCTAAGGTTTGAAAACCATCAGTTCTCAAAGATATAGGGATTAAAAAATTTGAGTTCGTACCAGAAATTTCGCTTTTCACTTTTGTCTAGATTGAAGGGATCGCAAAACTTGACAAACGTTTCTAAAAATGTATAAAATCTAAAATCTTATTAATCCTGTTCCATAGTATCCTTGAATTAGACCATTAATCTAGTTTCTCTAGTTAATCTCTTTTTTAATCTATAGCTCTGTAGGCCTCCTAGTTCCTTCATATCTACTGCATACATTTAGTGCACTTTTCTCAACAATTCTAGGCAAGCTAACTAAAAATACTTGAAAATTTATTCGAAATTACGGGTATGACTTTGTGACCTAGTAGCTCCTTACACAAAATTATGAAATAACACAATTTTTTTACTGCTATATGGAAAAAGGAACTGAGTTTTTGGCACAAACTCTGATTTTCTAATCCCGTTATCTTTGCAACATGATGTTGTAGATGTTTGATATTTCAAATTATAAATTGTGCTAGATCAAGTAATCTATGATATCAAAGGTTTACACCATCAGGTTGCAAAGATATAGGGATTAGAAAATCAGAGTTTGTGACAAAAACTCAGTTCCTTTAAAAAGATGTTCATTCACTTGATAGCTCTTTAAAAAGTTATGTTTGAAACCTGTAAGACTTTAGTCTAACGTGAAATTTCCTTTAATTTGACGTGCATGTTGTAAAGAAAAAGAGTATTTTAACTAACTAGGCTTTCAGCAGGACCCTTCACGCTTCTTCTATTTCAATTGTGAACATGATCTCTTTGTAAACATTGTAAAACAAAAACAAAAAAGTTTGATAATTTAATAAAAAAATTGTGGATTTTCTAAATTTAATAAAAGTTTAATTTTGTTGGCGGCTAATTTTTTTTAATTTTGATCATCCACATACCTTCCCTGGGGGGTCATGTAAGGTCCCACGCACAATTTGGGCCCGATCGGTTCGGCCGTATTTAGACAGACAGACAGACATACAAGCAAAGTTCATATTTAGATTGATACTGAAAACACATTATTATTAAACCGTGAATACAATCAACGAACTAGACTCTGAAAAAATATATATATTCAAGGGGACGCATCCTGTTTCTCTGCGCCCTATTCCCTTTTATGAATTTTGTAATTGGAGTTTAAGAGAATGCACAATGCACAATTTACAAATACCTTGCATTTAGATATTCTTTCCTTAATCTTACCCCTATATTCATCACATAACACAGGTCTATTATTCCACTTCTCTTCTCCTCCCACTCAACCCCCCCCCCNTCATTGAGCCTTTCATTCTCGTCTTGTACCAAATTTATTTACAAGTATTTTGTTGCATTATGATCGAACTTTTAAGTAGAAACCTACCTAATCCAACATATATTTATATAAATATATATATATATATATATACACAGATTGACAAGATTATAATTTATTGATTGAATTGAATTTAAGTATATATATTCTCACTTTGAACTGCTACTGAGTAATTCAGCAATTTGAATCTGTATCACGAGAAGATTATATTCTTCTCACCCCTCTACATTTATCTTTCATCATTTGCACACGTTTGCATTTAACATCAAACGGGAGAGAAATGGAAAAAAATTGTAAAAATGAAAATTCAAATATATTTAAATTTTCCGATGCACTGACTCATGGAAAAGACTAACTCTCGATATTCTGAAAGCCAAAATGTTTGAACTTATTACAGAAACTGTTATTGAAAATAAAAATGACCCTCTAATCAAAGATGGTTATGTTATGCAATCCTTTAAACCTTTATCTGATCAATAACGAGGAAGATATCGTCGTGTTTCTATACCTTGTTTTTAATTTATCCCACTTTTTCTTGAACAGACATCCTCAAGTCACTTTTAAAGAGAAATCACAATTGAAAATAATCAATTTGAAGTATGTAAAACATTGAAATCTCTTGTGTATACGCGTATATAGGTGTAATCCTTCCAATAATACCTTAAAACTATCTAGACAATATATTTGTATGACTACCATGTTTAAGTATATATAGGTGTAATCCTTCTATTCCCTCCCGGAACTGTTTTCTTTTTCTTCAGAATATCCCAAAAATCTTGGAACGAACAAAATTCATGATTTCCAATTGAAAACTCTAATCCTAAATACTCACATCTCCACATACTACTGCAGTGTCCCAAAAAAAGCTCTAAATATATCATTTTCCGACGAAACTAATGATTATCATGATTGAATTACATAAAAATATTTCAACACAAAATAGTGTGTCCTAAAAAGTATCCTAAAATGATGAATCTGAATATTCTGGAATATCCTCTATATCCCCCGACTATTAATATATATCTAAAGGGTAGTTCTTGCGGAAAAATGTATGCAAAGGAACTGAGATATCGCCACAAACTCTGATTTTCTAATCACTACATCTTTGGAACCAAATGTTGCAGACCTTAGATATTTCAAACTATGAATTCTGGTAGATCAAATAATCTGAGTTTGAAATATCAAAGGTTTACAACATCGAGTTCTAAAGATACTGAGGTTTAAATATTTGATTTTGTTCCAAAGACTC